CCTGGGGGTCTCGTTACCTTCATATTCATCTTCCTCTGCTAGTACCAGATAATGGATGAAATTTAATCATATGCCACAGGACTCCCAAGGAGGAGAACTTGAGAACCCTTGCCTGCTGCACTCAGTGCAAGAATGATTACGAGGATCCAGAATGATCTTTTGTGGTGAGACTAAATGCATCACGCACTGTATGACTTCTGATTTATTTTTAAAACATTCCTGGTCCCATTGGCTCCCTTTTAATAGTTTCCTAGAGCCTGTTTATTGTCACAGATGTTACTTTTAAATGAGGTCATCGTGCTCTCCTTAACTTCCAAAGGCAGCATTTGCCTTTTTATTGCAAGGGTTGGCAGGGCTTGCCTGGAGAACAGTGCAAATATGAGATCAAGGTTAAGGCTTCAGACCCCAGGAGATGAGGAGAGAAGAGGCCTCTGTGTCTGCACACACTCCACATCAGCCAGACACCACCAGAGAGCATGCTCACTCCATCCTTGGGATGACCTTTACAAGGGCAAATTGCCTGCCGAGAGGCAGGAGACAGACATCATGGTCTCAGATTGGCCTGAGTCATGTGCCCTTCTTGTTCAAAGTAAAGCCTCCGGCATGTCCAGAAAAAAAAAATTCTCTGAGCCCATTTCCTTATGTATCTTACAGATAAGAAGTTTTATTGCTTGGATTTAGGGGCCCTGTTATGCTCTTTGGTGAGTGTGTGGAGGAGATGGGGGAATGAAAAACTGGTAATTGCTAAAAATGTACTTGTTTGGAAATGCTCTGAATCCTGCATGTAGTGTATTTTTTCATGGCTTTGGGGGAGAACCACTGACAAAATACGGCTTGCCACTGATTTTTGTAAATATACTTACATTGGCTCACAGCCACACTTGATCGGTTACATGCCTGTGGCTGTCTTCTTGCTATTAGCAGAAGTAGTTTTATCAGACTGTGTGATCTGAAAAGCCAGAATTTCTACTATGTGTCCTTCAACAGAAGTTTGACATCACTGTTCCAAACTGGAAAGCTATGCTGGGACTGGGAGGTGGTCCTTCGAACCATGGAGGAATGGGCATGTGTGGAAATTTTAACACACTCCTTCCTGCATGTCAGTGGGTTCCTGCCATTCTGGTTTAATTCCAATACCTGAAACCATGTGCATGTTAAGATTGACTTGCTAAAGTTGGAATTAAATGGCAAAAATTCATCAGCACAGAGCTCATGTTGGGCAACCCCTGCTCCGTGTTGCTAGACTGGAACATTGTTTTCCTCTACATAAAATGATCCTGGGTATCCCTGGGCATATTCCTGGGAGGAGGCTAGCTGCTCAGCAGCACTGTGTGACTTTTGAAAGGCGCAATCACATGTCGTCCCAGCATGGAGTTCAAAAATGAATTTCAATGTAAGATGAGACGTTTACTGACAGACATCGTGATCTTGCCTTTGTGGTTTGAGTGTTTCCAGTGACAGGTGGGAACAGCTCTGATGCCAGACTGTGCCTCTGCATGCCAGGAGGAAAGATGAAACTGACATTTTAACATTGATTGTGTTGTATTTTAATTGCTGTCGTGTTTGTTAACTCAGTCCTCAGAGAGCATATTGCCAGTGGCAGAAGGGTGTATGCAAAGTAGATAAAACTCTAAACATGATAAACCTCACTCAGAAAGACTAGAGTCCAGTAGATTGTACTCTGGGTTCTACTTTGTTCATAGCACCCACAGATGATATGTCCTTATACACTCTACCTATGCATGGATGATAGGTGCTTATATATTACCCTATGCACAGATGATATGTCCTTATATACTCTACCCTATTCGTGGATGATAGCTATAATTACCCTATGCACAGATGCTATGCATGGATGATGTATGCTTATATAATTACACCATACACAGATGACCTGTGCTTATACACTGATTCCTGTGATACATTGGAGAGCTGGCCTTGACCTCTGGCTTCCTGTCTTGCTAAGTCAACATTTGAAAATTAATACCACTACTCTGTTCTCATGTCCCCATCCTTCCTCACAGGTTGCATCTTGGGATGCCATTTTAAGCAAGCCCAAATGCAAAAAAAAAAAAAAAAAAAATCCATGCGGTGTATACAGGACACCTTGCATTACATATGGTAGATAGAAGGTGCTCTCATCCAGTGCTTGTTGCCAACCCCATCTCATAATTTGGTATATCATTCCTGTCCTTGGATAGCACCCTTAAATCTCATTTAAGCCAATCATCAGATACTGTGCTACTTAATTTAGTAAAGGGTTCAGCGTATATTTCTGATCTCCATCAACTAGTTTGTCCTAGGCAAGACACACCTTGGTTCTTTGATCTCTTGCTTTTCATCCCTCCAAGCAATTCCATTCTCATGACAGGCCATGAACCAAGTGGAGAAGAGTTGATCAAAGTCTAGTGGACATCAGGATCATAGCTAATAGAGGCAACAGCATCTGAGAGCTGAAGTAAGAGTTTCCAGCATCAGTCCAGCCAGCATACTGAAGGGTCCTGTTAGGCCAGCCACAGGGCTGAGTGCTAAAGAGACAGAGCAGACCAGCAACCTGACTTCTTCATAAGGCTCTGGAAGAAGGGAAGCCTTCATGTGGTCGTCTTAGTATACTTGTGAACTGCAGTGTACTATTGCCCCCACTATGTCCTGCCGGTCTTCACATCTCCATTTCAGAACATTAATAGCCCTTGATGTCAAGTATGGCATAAAAGCATAATATTGTAATTAGCTCTCCCTTTTGTGTCTGATACTGAATTGTTGACTGAAAAGTATGAGAGTCAGAAGAGCTGTGTTTGAGACACCTTTCCACCTGCCAGATGTGGGTATACATATGTTCAAGAATTACTCAGCAAGTGCTATTATTCATGGTTTCAGGCTCTGGGGAGACAAAGCCAACATTCCTGCTGTATGCACTGGAAATTGTAACTAAAGGGGAAAGTGTATGAGCTGTGCTTACACAAATAGGTATGGTGTGGAAATAAAATCAGAATTTGTTGGACTTAGGAAAGCGCCGTGAACCATCTTTAAGCTCTCATTTCCTCATTTGCAGCATGGAAGTTAGACCCAGTATTGTATTTGATCATGCACCTGTTAAATGCAGCACCCTGAGAGCTCTGTGCTACTAAAGGGGTGACATCTACCATTGTTGTCAGAATCAGGTCTCAACTAGAGAAACAAACCCTTATCGGGGCCACATGAGCATCCAGCACTGTGCGTACTCAGAGCTGTGTGTGCGCTGGCCTCATCACACCTCAGGCATTCCTGCTCGATGCCTTTTCCCACACTTCTCCCTCCACTGTATTGTGCTGCGCTCTGTTTCTGTCTCTCGATCTGCTGATGGATTGGAAACGACAGTAAGATGGGGTTTTGCTCTTCCTGATGGATGCTGCTGAGCTTGAAGCCATGACCTGTGCATAGTCAAGTGTGTAGTGAAGTATTGAGTTGGTATGGAAGAGAACGAAAAGGCATAGTAGTGCAAAGAAGGGAGGGGATTCTGATTGTGAGAAGAGCAAAACAACTTTTGGAAGCTACACATGGTGATAGACACCAGTAACCCCAGCGTTCAGGAGCTGGCACGGGAGGATTGAGAGCTCAAAGACAGCCTGAACCTTCTTGGTGAATTAGATGACAGCCTAGATTACATAGCAAGATCTTGCCAATAATAATAATAACAACAACAACATAAAAGAATTTGAGAGCTAAAAGAGGTAAGTGAAAAATGCACTTGGCTGTAAAATCTTGAGGACTGGAGGAGAATCCCCAGAGCCCACATAAACCCGAGCACAGTAGCATGCATCTATAGTCTAGGTGAGAAGAGAGGTGAAGATTGGAACCCCTGGAAGCTTCCAGGACAGCTAGCCTGGTGTACACAGTGGCAAACAACAAAAGGCAGAAGGCAAGGACCAGCACCCAAGATTGTTTTCTGACTTGTACACAGGAGCCCTGTCATGTGTGTACAGTAAATCACATACATGCATGCACACACACACAAAGATTCATTTTTTGCTTATTTGTTTGTTTTGGTTTGGTTTTGAGATATAGTTTCTCTGTAGCTCTGGCTGCCCAAGAACTCACTCTATAGACCATGCTAGCCTTGAACACATAGATCACCTGCCTCTGCCTCCCGAGGGCTGGGATGAAAGGCGTGTACAACCACCGCCAAAACCACAGATTGATTTTTAAAAGTAGAACAAAACTTAAAAACTCAAGAGGTTGAGGCAGGGCGTTCACAGGTGGGTCAGACTGGGGCTGAGGGAATGCCAACTATGATCCATGGCAGGGACATGGCTGTGCGGGAAGTTGGATGGCACAGCATGATTTAAACACAGGAGCCAAGACGCCAAGGTCTCGGTCCCGACCAATGGCTTAAGCATATTTCTCAACTCCAAAGCAAGAATAGTAATATCACCCACATGCTAGCATTGCTTTATGAATGAGGTGTCATAAAGAAAAAGCGGGTCTCTGTGTCCGCTTGGGAGACGTGCGTTCATTTTACCATTCACTGAGTAAAAGAGTTCCAAAATGACATGGCTCTGGCCCTTCAAATACCATCTGTGCTGTTTCCATTACTGTGAAGCCAGACTAGTGAAGGCAAGGTCAAAGCCACAGGTTTAGTCCCTGGAGACAAGGTTAGCAGTTTCCATGGTTAGAGAATGGACCTCACGCCAGCAAGTGTACTCTAGCCCAACATGGATGAGTCCCTTGAGAAGAAATATTAGTGCAGATGAATCATTTGTGCTGGAAAAATAACCCAGGACCTAGAATGTCACCCTATCATGTGAAGAATAACAGCTTCTCTTGAGGGAAACGCCAGGCTTCGTAGTCTCAGGATGTTTTTTAAGAGGTGGAAAAGCAAATGTTTTGTAGAAAATTTACACCCCTTCTATCTGGTGGGATTTCTTCATACTACAAGTGGTTTATGCAAAACAGATGCCCGAGGAGCCATGCACGTACACCTGTGGGCTCTGTGGATGTATTTCATTTTCTTCCTCTTCCAGTTCTTGCAGACAACCTGAAATCCAACCCTGGGATCAAGTGGCAGTATTTCAGCTCAGAAGAAGGAATTTTCACTGTCTTCCCAGCACACAAGTTCCGGTGTAAGGGCAGCTATGAGCATCGCAGTCGGTATGCTGACTTCTTCCTGCAAGGGTTACTTGTTGCTGATGGCAGTCTGCATGGCCGGGTGGGCTGTGACTCTGGGTAGAGGATTTAAAAGGCAGCAGTGAGTTCCACACCCAGTTCTGCCCCAAGCAGTTCAGAGATTTGTTTTTTTTCCTTGCTCGGAAACAATGTCTACTTTTGACACTTATGGATGTGCCTGCTCTGGGGCAGGATGATGGTGAAGCCCAGAGCTTTCCAACAGCTATCTGTCACACCAAGCAAAGCTGCTGGAAGGAAATACAATTGCTTGCTGCATTTACTGTTATGTGCTGTGACACCTTGGTTGAAATAGATGTGCTATTTCACCTTCCCCATGCTTGATCCTAGGCCATAGCGATGTAACTGCAGGAAAGTCTGTGACTGACTTGCCTTTCTGGGATAATGGGTTTGGTTTTACACTTTTGAGCACACTTCAGCCACTGCCAGTTCCAAGGCTGTGCACAGAGCTTGTGAACCAAGTCACCATTATCCTGCCTTTCGCACACCGAAATGACTTGGTTGCACCATGTAGCCAGAGGGAATGAAGCGATGAGATCATTTGTAAAACAAGACTCATCAATTTACAGAAGCCCCTAGGCAAAGATGGTCTCCTTTGGCCATGTCAGGTGTTCAGTGCCTGGGAAGAGAGGGAGATGCCCATTCTCCATGCCAGTCTCCAAACAGGAGCCACACTATCCCTTCATCTTTGCTTCTCATGTATCCAGGATTTTTCCCAAAACGGGGTGACATCTCCCATCAGGGGTGGGGGTGGATTATTATTTGTATGGTTTTGATTTGGGTTTTTTTTTTTTTTTTTTTTTTTTTTTTTTTGTTTTTGTTTTTTCATCCTCTCTGTAGATACTCTGTTACAGTTACATACCAGGGAAACTGGATTAGAAATCATGACTTTGGTGTCTAGTTCAGTGGTTCTCAACATCCCTAATGCTAGTACCCTTTAATATAGTTCCTCATTTGTGGTGACCTTCAATTAATAAAATTATTATTTTTTTTGCTACCTCATAACTGTAGTTTTGCTGCTGTTATGAATCATAATCTGAATGTCTTGGTTTCCAATGGTCTTAGGCGACCCCAGTGAAAGGGGCAGTCAGTACACCCACACACACACCCACAGGGTCGCAACACAGGTCGAGAACCACTGGTCTAGTTGGGGGAGCAAAGGCTGGCATCTGCCCCTAAGGAAACCCAGCTTGTGGGAGGGAGGGAAGGGCCGCATCACTATTCAGCTCTCACCTGCAAGTTCCAGCTCGAGCCTGCCTATGATGAAGCTGACTCTTTGGCTGTGTGTGACCGTGTTTCTCTCCTCATGAACTGCCAGCCCTACCTCTTAACTTGTCTTAACTGGTTGCCTCTGCAAAGTCTCCACAACCCATGGAAGACTCTAGTGGGTTTCAGAGCACAGCACTGTGAGAAAGGGACCAGTCAAGCTCTGAGATCTGCCTCCCAGTCTATCTATGTAACATACAGGGCTATTTATACATCCTGCTAAAGCCACTTTAGATAAAGCTGCTGGGCTTTTCATTGGGTGAATTCGACTAGGACAAAGGTGGTATATCATTTTAAGGAAAATCTTCTCCCCTAGTTAGAAGAACATACATATGCATGTATGCGCGTACACACACACACACACACACACACACACACACACACACACACAAAGAGGAACATTTGACCTGGTATCAATCTAGGGCAGAAAGGAGCTGCTACTGTTCTGTTCCTGGTTCACCCTGAGGACGCTTCTTTTATTTCATTGCTCCACTGGCTCAGTGGTCCTGACTGGTGAACTACTGAAGCCATCTCAATACAAGACTCTGGACTTGCCAACAGCTAGTATAAATTTGGCCAGATTTTAAGGTGTTCCGTTTTGGTTTGGTATTTTGTCTACATTTCTTAACTTGTGACCAGGCTTTTGTGACTCACTGGTAGCTCGCATCTCACAGAAAATTCTTGTTTTAGAGGTGTCAAGGAGGGGATTCTCTTGGGGCCGATTTGCTTTCTTAAACCACCCCTAATTTGTTCCAGGTTTAAAATGAATAGAGAGCTCATTAAAGCCCTCCTGACCCATACAGGGGCGGAGAGTGCTCTGATCAGAGGCATGTCTCCTCCATGGCTTGGACAGGTCCCTCTTTCTGCACATTGGCAAACAAGCACCTGGTGGGAAGAGTGGCTGTTGCAGGTTTAGACAAATTCTGATGACATGATTTGAGATGCTCAGCTCGGGAGCCTTTTGGTGGCTGGCCTGTATGAGTTGCTGAGACACAGAGAGGAAATGGGAGGGGGGGGGTATATGGGAAGAGGAAGGCCAACCTACCATCGAGAACTGCCCAGCACATACCCAGGTCACAGGCTTTCATAACTGCTAGCAAAATGCTGTGTGTGTGTGTGTGTCAGTCAGTCTGTGTGTCTGTGTGTATCCAAAACAGAAGCCAACACTGGCAACTGGGCCTTGTTCTCCCTTTGAACCAAGTCTCTATAGCCTGAGGAGCCAGCAGCTCACTCCCCTAAACAGAATGAGTAAGCCGAAAGCCTGGCCCTGCAGAAGTGAGCTGAGACTTCCAAGTATGTGGAAGAATCAGCCTCCTGGAAGGTGTGCTCTCATCTTCAAAGTCAGAATTTCACAGTCCTGTTCCTATCAGTGCCCCTCCACATTCCATCCTGAACCCACTCCAACCTGTGCCGCCCCCAGAACAACTCACCCCTACCCCTCACCCCACCCCCGTGTGCCCACACATCCATAGTGTTCACAGCTGTGTTAAGACCCTTTTCCTCTCTCTAGGCCCATCTATGTCTCTACTGTTCGGCCACAGTCCAAGCACATAGTGGTGATCTTGGACCACGGGGCCTCAGTCACTGATACCCAGCTCCAGATTGCCAAGGATGCTGCACAGGTCATCCTCCGCGCCATTGATGAACATGATAAGGTGACTATTATCCCAGTGTCCCTTGGGGGCATGAAAGCGGTCTTGAATATTTCCAACATTTACTTTTGTTTCATTATGTTCAGTCAGACGCACACAGTGACATCTCGGTCACGAGCGGACCAGGTAGCACCAGCGCGACCCTGCGGTGACCACGTTTTCAGTGTTTTGACTTTTCCATCACCAAAGACTTTTTCTTACGAACCTCAGTGCTGAAAACACACAGAGACCACACTACCCCACTCCACCCTACCCCCTCTTTACTGATCTCCAGTTTGAAAGCCAAGATGGGCCACTTTCGTCAACATATTCTTCAGCATGATCTTAGGACTGTTTTTGCGTTGTAGTGGTTCAGATATGCAAACACTGCTTGAGTTTGGCTCAAAGGCGGGATTCTTGGGTTCTATCCATTACAAATGCTTTTCATACTTGACAGGTGGATGGCTTGGGGCATTTATTTTTAGACTCAGACTCGGAACCTGTTCTACAGGCCTTCCTCTCTCGTTAAGCTCTCCTTTTACCTGAACATCCAAGCCTGGGCATTGTGGCTGAGGCAGGATTACTATTTGAACCCAGAAGTTTGGGGTTTGCCTTAATAACATGGGAAAGACTTCACCCAAAAATTAAATAAGTAAATAAATAAAGCTTTAAATGGTAGAGGAAAAAGTCACTGAGTGCTTTTTCTGTCCTCCAGATTTCTGTGTTGACTGTGGCAGACACCGTCAGGACCTGCTCGCTGGACCAGTGCTATAAGACTTACCTGTCCCCAGCCACCAGTGAGACGAAAAGGAAAATGTCCACATTTGTTAGCAGTGTCAAGCCCTCTGACAGCCCCACCCAGCATGCAGTGGGGTTTCACAGGGCATTCCAATTGATTCGAAGCACCAGCAATAACACCCGGTTCCAAGCAAGTAAGTGCATTTATGAGAAATGGCCACAGTAATGTGCTACAAACCAAGTTCAGAACCAGAAAGGAAAAACTCTCCAGCTGATTTCAGATAAAATTATCATGGGTATCTTCATACCCATGCTCTCATCTTTTCAATTTTATTATGGTCATTCTGTGGGACTTATCGAATCCTAGAGCCTCCTCTTCCTGCCCCTTTATTAAAAACACATCCTCACTTATGCTCATTTCCCAAGAGAACAGCCACATCCTCTTTAATGTTAATTGTTGGCTTTGCCTCCCTGTGGGCTTGAGCAGTTCTGTGCAGTGTGCATGTGCACCAGAGGGAGCAGCATGGATTCTTTCCTTGATCCTCGTCGTCTTTCCTAACCAGCTGTCATGTAGATGAGCCCACCCTTCCCATGTACAAAGGCACTCTAATTTAATTTCCGTGTATGAGAGAAAAATCTGGAATGAGGATGCACACTAAGGGAAAAGGAAGGGTAGTTGAAATAGGACTCTGCTTTGAAACTTCTCAAAGGAGTCTTTTATTTCTTCTTTTATAATTGAAAATCTGTAGCCATTTTTCTTTATTTAAAAATTTTAATGTATCCTGTTTTGGGTAAGGTTTTGCTTTCCCCTCCTCCTCCCCTTCTTTCTTCTTTCTTCTTTCTCCTTCCTTTCCTTCTTCTCCTTCTTCTTCCTCCTTTCTCTTCCTCCTTCTTCCTCCTCCTCTTCCTCCTCCATAGCCCAGCCTGGCCTCCAGCTCGCCATCCTCTTGCCTTTTCCTCCAGAGTGCTGGTGTTACCCAGTTGTTTAATACACTGTTAAAACAGATTTATTTTATATATATATATTTTATTATATATATAATATATATATTATATATATTATATGTATTATATATATTTTAAGCTGCTTTGTGTATCTGTATCTAAAGATTTAAAGTCAGACTGCTGATGGGTGTAAAGTATCATGCTTGCATTCTGGCTGATGGAGGGACTGGCAAGTATAACTAGTGGTAGGAGGTGGCCTATTAGTTTTTATCTTCACTTGTTTAAAAATTATAAAGTTAGTTTAAAGGGACTTTTTTGTCATTGTTTGTTTTTGTCTTGTTGGAGATAGGGTCTCATGTAGCCTTAAGATGTAGTTGAGGTATACATGCACTTTAAAAACAATGTATGTTCATGATCACATCATTTCCCTGCTCACTGTACCTTAGCTAGGTCTTCTGTTCAAAGCCTCCTGAGGTGGAAACTCCATGTGATCAGGGCTGTAGGCTCACATGAGGTTCCTAGTTCTATTGTGAGCTCACACGTTTAGTGGCAGATTCCCTTTCCTTCCAGCTCTAAAACTCATGTCACTTTACTTCTTGATGACCAAAGGGGATCTCTTCTACTCCAAGTCCTTGGTATTGGGACACTGGTACCCTCTTCTAACAGGCTCATCTGATTACCCAGAGCCACCCCCCCTTTTCATTTCATCAAGTTACTCTCAACTTACCAGGAACCACAGTTTTATCTTCAAGATTCACCTTTCTCTGCCAGATAGCAGCCCAGTCACAGGAGCCAAATTCCATTGTTAGGAGCATGTTATAGCTCAGGCCCACGCAGACGGGGAAATGAATGACACTGGATACTCTGGATGTGTCATCTCAGAATTTTGCCTACTATTGAGAACAAGCACCAGCCACACACACTTCAGTGAGGCAGATAGTCAGAGCTTATCTCATGAGCCAGGCAGATTAGTTAGTGTATCAGTTATTTTTGTCAACATTATATGAACTAGAGTTGTCCACGAAAAGGTAACTTCAGTTGAAGAGTTACCACTACCAGATTGACCTGCCCATGTCGTAGGGCATTTTCTTGATTCATAATTGATGTAGGAGGGGCCAGCCCTCTGTGGGTATCCCTACCCTTGGACAAGTGGTCCTGGGTTATTTTTTAAAAAACCAAGTGGAACAAGCCAGCCATATTCCTCCATGGTTTTAGTTCCTGCCTCCAGGTTCCTGCTGTAAAATAAACACTTTCCTCCCAAGTTGATCATGTTTCCCACAGCAAATGAAAGCAAACTAGTAAGTTGGCCAGTTTGTCATAATCCCTCACTGGAAGGTTTTTCTCCAATACACTTGAGTTATCAACCTGCCTTAGAGTTTCTGTCCAGTTTTCATTTCTGTCTTGTTCAGATAAAGGAAAGAAATGTTAAGCTAGCAGTGGCAAACACAAATGCCTGTAGCACTCGGCAGCTGGAGACAGGGCAATGAGCATCCCTCATTGATGGCAGAATAAATGGTAGAGGAGGTTGCTTCACCAGGGCAGGTAGCCCTAGCATGGTCCTATCCTCCAATTCGAGAGAAGCCAGAGATCTGGATTTCCCCTGTGAAGTCTGGATTTTCAAATGTTATTGCTCCTCCTACTTGAAAACCTTATTAAGCCTCTTCTCATGGCCCTCTCTGTACTACTCATTGGCAGGAAGCCTGCTTTCTTAGGAGGCTTTCTCCTTGCTTTTGTTTGTTTGTTTTGTATTTGGTTTCTTATGCTTCCAAACAAAAACCTGGCAAGAAGACTGGCCATCAAGAAGTTGGACAACTTTCAATAGCACAGATCCCAAAGTGCTCAGAGAAATTTTTTTTTCTTTGGTTCTAATAAGATGTTTCAAAAGGTTAGTTTGCAACCGCCCTCTTTACAGCCTCTAATCACAGTTCAGAGGAAAAAGAACCTAACTTGGTTTGTTTAAAAAAATTCTTCAGGAATGTCCACTGTCCACATCATGGTGACAGGTTTTGTGATGCCCCAAACAATATGACCTAGTGTTTGAGTATTTGGATCTTGGATTCAATTCTGAACCTTTTCTGACCTTATAAGCATGGGAATATTAATTGAACTACCCATAACTGGTCTATTCTGTGAGGTGGGCATGACAATAACACCCAGGATTATTTCATAACTGTTCAGCAATTTAGCTGTCACTATTCTGTTCCATCCCCTATGAGACTTCTAGCCTCAGCTCATTTACAGCAGTGAACTCTACCCTATGGGATTACTATAAGGATTACCTATTGAAGGGGAAGCATCTACCCATATCAGGACCGTATAAGCAGAAGCCAGACTTTGCCAGATTTTGTAGCTTTACATTGATTTATCATATACCAATCAGAATCTAAAACTTTTATGCAGAGTGGGATTCTTTCTTCAGGCCCTTGGTAGATCCGTAAGGAATACCATTGACCTTTTAGGTTGTTTCTTCTGTGTTTGTTTGGGTGTGGGTGTTTGAGAGATCATCTCATAGCAAGAGGAAGATGATTTCAAGTGTAGATGTGATTGCATGTGCCAGGCTCAATTTGAGTTGCTTTTCCTCTGACATTGATTCCAAGACATACTGGTTATACACTTAAAGAGAGAGTCCCCATGTCCCCAGACCCTTAAAATTGGCCACCTCTAACTTCACCAGTGCTATAAATTCCCACCAGTGAGTGATTCAGGAGAATCCACTGAGCAGAGAGCCAAATCAGACCAAACCTAATGAAACCGCTGAGTGAGAGCCCCAGTCAGGGAAGTAGAGCAGTGCCTTGCTCAACCATCATTAGAGAAGCCTCCTCTTGCAGACACAACTGGACAGTGTACACAGAGAGTGAGACCTTGGAACACTCAATCCTAAGTGGAATGTCTCTAGAATCCCTAACCAAGATATTTTCTCCAATTGACATCTACTTGTAAAAGAAAAAAGATAATTTTCTCTACTGGGTATGTTAAATACACTTATAGGCAAGCCTCATCCCCAGCAGTAGATGACTAACACAAAACTAAAACTCAATGATATTTTTGTAGACTTTTTTTGTCTCATGTTCCTTTGTTTGGGCATTTTTTTGATCTTACTGATCTTTTGTTTGTATTTTATGGTTTCCAATTTTGTGTTGTTTTTTGTTTGTTTGTTTGTTTGTTTTGTTTTGTTTTTTTCTTGGTTTGGTTTGGTTTTGGTTTTTGGAGACAGGGTTTCTCTGTGTAGCTTTGGGGCCTGTCCTGGCACTCACTCTGTAGATCAGGCTGGCCTTTAACTCACAGAGATCTACCTGACTCTGCCTCCCAAGTGTTGGGATTGAAAGCATGCACCACCACTACCTGGCTTAAAATACACCTAATTGTATTTTGAAAGTTAGCAATGACCAATTTTGTATTTTATGGTGTGTGTGTGTGTGTGTGTGTGTGTGTGTGTGTGTGTGTGTGTGTTTCTTGTGTTTTTTCTTTTTTGGGTGGTGGTGGTGGTTATGGTTTTTCAAGACAGGGTTTCTCTGTGTAACCCTGTCTGTTGCTGTCGTGAAACTCACACTGTAGACCAGGCTAGCCTCAAACTCACAGAGATCTGCCTGCTTCTGTCTCCCAAGTGCTGAGATTAAAGATTTGCACAACTGCCTGGCTATGCTTTAAAAAAAAATGTGTATTACTTGTATTTTGTTTGCCTGTTTGTTTGGGAGAGAGAGAGAGAGAGAGAGAGAGAGAGAGAGAGAGAGAGAGAGAGAGATCATGGAATTAGGTGGATGAGGGGGAGTTAGCAGAAGGGAACCCAGATCAAAATAAATCATATGAAAAATGTATTATATATACACTTATATATATTTATTTATATTTGATAACTGCCAATGAAAAAAACTTCAATTTTGCTTGGTTGAAGACTGGGTGATAATATAATGGGGTCTAGGCAGACCTAGTAAGAATTTTGCAAAATAATTATTGTGGGATGAAAACAAAATGTGACCGGATACTAAACAAACCTGGAGACTTGGTCCTTCTAGCTTTCCAGTCACAGTCCTCTAGTCTAAAACAGCTCCAGTGACATTCACAGAGACAGTGTGCTAAGTGACAATCAAAAGGACTTTGTTTAGAGGCCAGTCAAGGTGCATCCCAGAATTTATCACCAATAGGACCTTTGCCAAGAAGAGATGGTTGGCCTCGTACTGTATGCCCCTGTGATACAGCTGTATCCCTTCCCGAAGGATGTGAAACTATTTCCTTCTGTGGTTTGTTTGACATTTATTTTTAGTGTGAAGCGTAAGTAAGATATTTCAGACTAGTAAAGTAATAGTTACAACTGAGAAAATATTGACATCTAGTATTAATGTGGGAGTTTTCCTGAGACTCAAGGATTTTATTTTTTTATCCGTCTGCACTTTCTGATCTCCAGTGGTTGAATAAATGCATTTACATATAAAGTTAGTAAAAATCTAAGCATCTTAGTTGGCTTTGCTAGTCCTATTTTTAGGACTATAATAAATAGTCCTATTTATTAGTCCTATTTTATTAAATTCAGTTTGGCTGTCTATAGCATTGATAGTATATAAGCTATTAATCTATGTATAACAATGAACACTTCAAAATCTTAAGTGGAAGTTTATAAACTGTAAGAACTGTGTATCTTTTTCTTAATGCCAATTGTATTTGTTACATAGCCATAAGACTGAATGGCCTTGACATTCCATCGCCTTTGTTTCAGTCATCAAATCCCACCCACCCTCAGAAGGTAGCTTCCCAAGGGTGCAGATGTTATGAGATGGATCATAAAGCAACTAGGCTGTCTGCCATGGTTACTCTAAAGTATTAGCCCCAGTGAAACAAGAACAGCAGGACCTGTGGAAATAACATGTATATACAAGTATTTCTCTACACAGGGATAAGATTCCCTACAGCGTATCCAAAAACTATCTATTCACTCAAATGCCTTCATATTAGAAAGAAATACAGAAACCCAACTCTTTCCCCATCCCTCCCTTGTTATCTATAGTGGTAGACAGTTTATTATCCCCATTCCCATACCTCTCTCTTCTTTCCTCCCTCATCCCCCTCCCCTCCCGTGTGTGTGTGTGTGTGTGTGTGTGTGTGTGTGTGTGTGTGTGTGTGTGTGTAATACAACTCTTTGGCTCTCTGGGACAACACAGCAATGTGCGATAAATCTGCAACAAGTCAGCTGCAAAGCTGCACTCTGTAATTGATGGGACAACTCGGCTGCAACACAGCATAGTGCCCCAGCTCAGTGGCACCCATGCCAGAGTTGATGTCAGGGTGTCTCTCAGTCACTCCTTTACCTTATTTTTCTTTGACAGAGTCTCTCAATGAACTTAAAGCTTGTCATCCTGACCACAATGGCTAACCAACAAGCTCCCAAGATCCACCAGTGTTTGCTGGGCCAGCACTGGGATTAGCTATATACTACCACCCCACTTAGCTTTTAAATGTTACCTTTGAAATTGACTCTACCCATTGAGCTGTCTCCCCAGACCCATCACTCTTAGTCTTGATTCAGCCTGCTTTGGATAAGGTCTTCTCATTGTGTTACAGTTACTTCTTCTCCCTTACTCATTGGCCTGATTTGAAGGGTGCTATGAATTTAAAATCACAAGTCATCTTCAGGCCACTCGAAGGAGTGCACGCACGTGTGTATTGAGACTTCTTTCTCGTTTACCTTCCTTCCTGTGCCATCACCCTTTGGTTTACCTACCCGTTCATTCAGTTGACCAGACATTTCTCCAATTGTGCATAAGTTACTGCCACCTTTGGCTACATGACCCAAACACACTAAGCATACTGTAGCAATTTGGAACACACAGTGCATTAACATCCATAGTTTTGTTTTGCTACATTAATAAGCTTTCAAAATCAAAATGTGTTTGACGGTATTTGGGGTCCGGCAAGTCACTTTTAATGTCTGCAGAGCCCTAAAAGAGCCTCTGCCATAAAAGCAAGTCCCCCACCTCACCCCCCAAAGCGTGGCTCCTGTAAATGGCCCTGTGTGAGACTGAGGGAGGGATAAGCTGGATCTGAGTCCCCATCTCAGAAGCTGGGGAGAATTCCTTTTAGGTCAGCTTAAATGAACACAGCGTGGGTGCCCAGAGGAAATCGCCGTCTTTCATCTGGTAAATGTGTCGGGAGAGTCTTTCGTTGGAAAAGTGAGGCCTTGCTATCCAGAGAGCTCGGGATAGAAAGGGAAAAGGAATTAGCAAGATGAAAGCCAGCATATCCGTCACATGGGAAAGGCGTAGGACACAAGGGACCAGGCAGGTCCTCTGGGTGGGGGAGTCAGGGAAAACAGAAGGAAAAAGGCACAGCTACCTCTAACCGGAATCTGAATGTAACCTCGGTCTGTGTGGTTTTTGTTTAGATACCGACATGGTTATTATTTACCTGTCAGCGGGCATCACATCAAAGGACTCCTCAGAAGAAGATAAAAAGGCAACCCTCCGCGTCATCAATGAGGAAAATGGTTTTCTGAACAACTCTGTAATGATCCTTACCTATGCCCTCATGAACGGTAGGTAGTATTTTGAGATTTTCCTTCCAGATGAAAGTTCCTCTAGAAAACAGACTTGTGCCTGTGACTTGATGTCAGGCAGCTCTTTCCTACCAGTGCTGGGATGCGTGTCTTCTCTTCTTCTGTGGTCTGGCTGAGTTTTGCATCTCTCTCCTTCTTCCAGTTCTCCATATTCTAGGTCATCAGAGGTGTTGATCCTGCAGGGGAGGTTGATACTCAAAGATCCTGTGAGTTGCAGGAAGCCACACAGCACTGGCCTAGATTCTTTCCATTCTCAATCCATCCAAAGAACCACAATCATGCCTAAGCTTAAACCAGCTTCCTTGGCTGTCAAATGTAGATAGCAAGGACCTGCTTTGCAGGCCTGTTGAGAGGGTTAGCCTTCCTAGACATCAAACCTTTACAACAGCACTGGAGGATGCCAGCTTTCATTAAAATCTAGTTTCACCGTTAAATGTTGGTAGATGGGTTTAGAAAATTGGAATATTTGAAGAAACACTTGACATTCACCTTTCTTCTCCCCGACTGTCCTCCTGCGCTGGTTTATGCTCCGTGGTATGATGACACCATACCTATTAATATGTGGCTTTTCCTTCAGTGGCTCTTCCCCCTCAGGGCCTCAGCCTGGGTACTTGGGTGCTGCCTTTCCTTGTGGCTGAGTGACAAGGTGTGCATCCTATAGCCCGTCCCACTTATGAGCTCTGTGTATCCCACCCCCCACCCCGCCCCCATCTTAGCATCCCGCCCCTTAGGATATGCTAAGGATTCTGTGGCGAATGCCCCCAAAATGTGAGTTCTAAATATCAACCCCAGGTTCCTACTCAGATCCTCTTAGGAGGGAGCCAAGAGTCTGCTACTCTGAAGTGATTCTGGGCCTAGTGCCTGATGGACCACCCTGAGGGAGTGCAGGCTCACCATCCAGGTGCCACTGTTGCAGTCACCATTCACCAACTTAGGCTCATGGCAGGGTTCTCCATTTCTTTAGACCCCAACCTTTTGTCTTTCCAGTCAACATTTCATTGTGTAGCCCAGGCTAGCCTCAAACCTGTGGCCCTGTTTCAGCCTCCTCAGTGCTGAAATGGCAGGTGTGTGCCAGCTCGAGACCTCTCTTTTTATCTGTGAGGTGAGAATAATCAACTCCCCATGCATAGGGATACTATAAAAAGTAACATTATGGTGTATGTTGAAAGTTATCAGAGAGGGGCTGGAGAGATGGCTCAGAGGTCAGGAGCAATTGCTGCTCTTACAAAGGTCCTGAGTTCTGATTCCAGCACCCACAGCAGGCACCTGTAACTCTAGCTCCAAAGGATCTGACACCCTCTTCTGGCTTCTGTGGACACCTGCACACATGAACCTCCAAACACCCAAATAAATTGATTAATTAAGATAGAAATTTTAAGTTAACATAGAGCTTGGGGAGGGAGGGAGCAGTGATATGTTTCCTGTCACACCCAGACTGGCTGGCAGTGAAGGGCATCTCTGCCATCTGGGGTCAGTCTCATTCAGCACTATCACGGAAGGCATCCTGATACACTTGGCTCCCACTGTGTAGAAGCGCATGCCCCCCACCTTGTGTTCCCTCCTCTGTGGACAGATGCTGTTCTCTCTCCTATCCCTTCACAGGCATTGAGGCATCTTGCTGTTTGCCCTGTGACCTGAGGAGAGGAACCATCTATTCAGTATGGATGGAGACAGCCACTTTTTGCTTGAGCACTTAGCCTTCGGCGCCATGTCAGGGTGCCTGATGCTCTGTTCTGCCAAATTTTAACTTCTTTCATGAGTGAGAAGGGAGGAAAATAAAATCCCCTGAGTCTCTGTAGTGCCCACAGACTTTCCTGTCTTCACAGAGCTCTCTCGCTAGAGAGGACAGATGAATTAAATACAGGAGAGGAGCAGGGAGACACACCCACATGAGGTAATTGCTTCTTGTGTGTCACAGACACTGAGTAAAAGTCCCGGGTTATCACCTGTCCAGGCACCAATCCTTCAACGGTGCCTTGGGTACCATTGCCATAGCCCTGACAACTCCACACTTTAATACCTCAGTTTAACTCCATTCACCCATCCTTAGCTCTTCAGTTTCTCTCTTTTGTCTTAGGAGATACATCTGGTCACTGCTAGTTATCTGACTGCTGTTCACTGAGAAAACAGGAGATCCTCCAAGAGCTCAGATAGTGAAGTGAGGCCACCATGAGATTTTGAAAGATATCTCTCTCTCTCTCTCTCTCTCCCTCTTTCTCTCTCCCTGCATAACCATTTTCCTTGCCCCTGGTCTTCCCATGGCTTTTGATTACAGATGGCTGAAAGTTTGAAAGAGCTGGATTTTCTGAGGGATTTGAATGAGGTAGATCACCATGGCTAGGGTGACAGAAAAAAAGAAAAGAAAAGAAAGAAAACTAACTCAAAGTTTAGTCATCAAGCTTGCAGGGAAAACTGAAAGCTAGAGACATTGAAGACAATCTATACGTTGTGCTAAAGAAATGTCTGGAAGGTCATTGGCTTTTCATGGCCGTTGCTCTCAGTGAAATCTACCTGGAGCTGATGTTGGTGAATAAGCCAGAAGTTTGGGATGGAAGCTTAATGAAGATCAGAGAAAGTGGCTCAAACCGGAACTTGCTGGTGTCTCTGTCTCTCACCATCTCTGAGTTCACGTCACAAAACTTGACTTTTGGCATCTTTAATTTGTGAGCATACAGCAGAGAGGACTCTGGGAACTGTGATTTCTAGCATGCTGGTCTTGGTGGATTTACAATCCAGTGTTTACTAATCTACCATGAAATGACCATGAAAAAGTGCTGATACTGTCAACAACCTAACCCTCCATCCCATGCCATGACTTGCAAATATTGCAGAACAATATCAGGCAAAGAAGAAATACATCTATTGCTTGTGTTGTCTCCTTTCATCACTTTACCTCTGTGAGCTTCCCTTGAGATGCTGTGAAAAATCAGTCATGTCTTTTACTCTAAAACAGACCCACCACCCCTCATCCCTCACACCTCACCCCAATCTTAGCTCTGTGCCAAGCAAAGGGAGCAATTATGTGCTTCTCAAATGATTTGCCCCAGGAATTATATTCCTTTCCTTTAACCATGAACGAGTGCAGTAAAATTCAAGTTTATCTGGATACAATGTCTTTAAAAACAAAAAAAAAAAATCAACCAGTTATGGTGGCACATGTCTTTAACCCCAGCAGTCAGGAAGCAGAGGCAGAGATATCTCGAAGTTTAAGGCCAGCCTGGTTCACAGAGCAAACTTTAGGCCAACCAGAACTACATAGTAAGACCCTGTCTCCAAAAAACAAAAGTAAATGATGATGTGAGATGATATGTTAGATTTTGCTACTACTTAGCAAACTAGAAATAAATGTCTGCTATTAGAAATGCACTCACTCCATAGGTGAAAAGTTGTCCATGAAGGCATCAGTTTCTTTTCAAGAGCGGGAGACAGAATCTTTTGGAAGGTCAGTGGTAGAGTCTCACCAACAACTGAAAGCACTTGAACTTGTTACAGTGGTGCCCATGTGAGATCAGTTACTAATCCTTTTGACTATATGCCAACAATAGCAAACTAAAAAAAAAAATGGTTTATTAAATTTATTTTTGCACTATGGAATACAGATGTTGTAGAACAATACATCCCACTATGCCTAAATCTTTCTACAAAGTTTTCAATACCCCATAAATATAAAAAATACACATTAAATAAATCAAATTTAGTATTATCCTAACAATATCAAGCATAAAGACATTTGTAATTAAAATGAGCTTGAAGAAGAGAGTTTAGGAGCATTGCTAAATGCAGACCATAATTCTTTCATTTAGTTCCTTGAGTTTTTGGCAAGTGGTTTTACAGACAAAGATGGAATGAGATGGTAAAGGCCTTAAAACTCTCCAAAGGTCATCCGCTGCTTTAAATTAAATGCAGACTCGTTAACTATTACTTTTGCTTTCAGATATTAAGTGCAGCAAAGAATTTTAAATCTTATAATTAAATGTTTAGGGCGAGCACATCCTTTGCTTCCCATGTGGTTTTCATCATGGCCTTTTGAAGAATCCCTTTGTGCTTTTGACTGAAGAAATTCCCTGTCTCAGCCTTTGGTTTACAGTGGGAACTGGTACCCTGGGTCCATAGTAACCCTACAAAGACCTCTTGCATTGCAAGACTTCATCTTTTTGGTTTGGGTTTTGGTTTTTTTTAAGACATGGTCTCACTATGTAGCTCTGGCTATCCAGGAACACGCTATGTAGATGGAGTTTGCCTTGCTAATTCTAGCACACCCCACCCCCAAGTGCTGCGATTAAAGGCCTGTATCATCATGCATGGAACAAGATCTCATTTGTATCCATAGTGGATCTAAATGGCAAACTGCTTCCTAAAAAGTAACCAAGCCTTTCCCTTGTTTTTGATGATAGATGGGGTGACTGGTTTGAAGGAGTTGGCGTTCCTTCGGGACCTGGCTGAACAGAACTCTGGGAAGTATGGAATCCCAGACCGGACAGCCTTGCCGGTGATTAAGGGCAGCATGATGGTGCTGAACCAGCTGAGCAACCTGGAGACCACAGTTGGCAGGTTCTACACTAACCTTCCTAACCGGATGATCGATGAGGCTGTCTTCAGCCTCCCCTTCTCTGATGAGATGGGGGATGGTAAGTGTAGAGAGAATGTCCTACTATGAACGAGGAAAGGAATGAGCAAGCAGAAAGGTGCACCCTGCTCCAACCCCACAGATAAATATATGCCTGCCACCTTACCTATAACACGGCTCTAACACATAAGCCCAGTGCTGTTTCCTCTAGTCTCCAGCCTCAAAGGATGTAACCGGAGGGTTTCTGATGCAGCTTCTAAGGAAGTTCCAGTAGTAAGTGACACTAAGGATAGCTGTGCATCACAGGGTACAGGGAGGCAGAAAGGTCTGGCACCTTGTCCTCAGTAGTATATTTTATCTCATAAATTCTCCACTTGGTCATCTTTCAAAACGGATAATAAATTGGTGAATTCTTTTAGGATGAACTCATACACATACGTGAATATATACAGATAAAGATGGATACCTACATATATTCATATACACATACATGTAACCAGTGGCTAGCATACCACCCAGTTGTAAGTACTGCTCACTCCTCCCTTTTAATACACTATTTGCCTTTGCTGTTATCATCACCATCATCCTGAGCCACAGGTACCCAGAACACTGTGTGAAGTAAAGTGCTTTAACTGTCACATGATTCAGGCACCTGACTAGATAATGGAATCCTTTCTGTCAAGTAATTATGAAGAATAATTGAAGATATCTATAATCTATTTATCTACCTATCTATCTATCTCTCTGTCTATCACATCTGTACAAATGCCTCAGAACACTATTTCTAACATGCAAAACCCATTCATCCAGGGAGACCTGAACAGAAACCTCCTGTGAAGTGTGCAGTTAAGACCGTCTTCAATATCTGTTGTTTTCAAGCAGATGATGAGAAACATTTTAAATGGGAACTGAATAGAGTATACTTTGAAGATCAGAAGAGACCTCCTATCCCCTATGGAATGACTTTTTACAAACTTCTTCAGGCTTGTGTCTCCTCCTTCCTGATAAGTGATGTAGTTAGTTGGTCTCTGCAGCCATAGCAATTCAATATACCTGGAGTATTGTCACCACCCACAATTCTCTGTTTCGAAGTCCATTCTTCTTGACAGACACCTTCAAGAGTGTCCAAATCCTTTCCCAAAGTGTTCTGAAAGGGATTTGTGATACCCCCCAATGTCATACACATGCCTCCAGGTATAGGAAAGTATAACAAGATAGGGAAAAGGATTTTTGTTTTGAGATTTAGGTAGAGCCCCGAGATTGCGGCATGGTTAGAAATCACAGACATTGCCTTATCTTGGCTTCATGAAGACACATGTCCTTCTAGGCAGTACGACTTCCCCTGCCTTACAGCGAAGGCAGGAGAGGCTGGTGCCCAGGTGGATTCTTAGAGCCACGCCTGCCCCCACTCGACTCCCTTTCTCTCCTGTACAATTTCCTCCTGCACACTCTTCCTTTCCCTAATTATCCTGTTGTTTCGTGTGTCCTGTGAGCTAAGGATGATTTGTATAGTTTGAAAAATTGTTGTTAAAAAGAGAAGTATGAAGAAATGGGTACCTGAGACTGTATGGATGACAAAGCCTAAAGCATTTATTGTCTGGCCCTTCGTGAGGACTGGCCTCTGTGACTAGAAATGCATTCCTATGGAAATTTAATTTTCTGTCATCTGCTCAGAGTTCTGTGTGGTCATTTTCTGTACCTTCTTAACTTCCCTCCTCTGTCATTAGAGTTTTTGCAATGTTTGTATCTTTTACAAATCCATTTCTCCATAATCTCTTGGTCCAGCATTCCCTAGAAATCAATAAAGCAATTTCTTCCCTCCATGTCCTGTCAGCATCAGTGAGGGATATTACATCCAGTGTCACACTTGTCACATAGTACAAACGGAACAACTGGAATGGAACTCAAGATTTTTTTCACACTCCTTATCCAATGTTTTGTTTGTTTGGTTCTTTGGTTTTTTGTTTTGGTTTTTTGGTTGGTTGGTTGGTTGGTTGGTTGGTTGGTTGGTTGGTTTGGGGGGGTTACTTTGTTTTGTACCCCCCCTTTTTTTTACATATAGCTAAATCTTCCCACTTCAGCAGATGTATTTAGCACTGCACTATTTTCTTTTTTTTTTTTTTTTTTTTTTCTTGTTTTCTTTTTCTGTGTTTTGAGGCAGGGTTTCTCTGCATTGCTTTGGAGCCTGTCCCGTAACTTGCTCTGTAGACCAGGCTGGCATTGAACTCACAGAGATAGTCCTGTCTCTGCCTCCCAAGTGCTGGGATTAAAGGCATGTGCCACCAATGCCTGGTAACTGTACTATTTTTCTCTTGATCCCAAGTGTCTTAGTTAGGGTTTCTATTGCTGTGAAGAGAGACCATGACCACAGCTTCTCTTACAGTGGAAGCATTTAACTGGGTTGGTTCTCTTACAGTTTCAGGGGTTTAGTCCATTATGTTCGTAGCAGAGAGCTTGGTGGCAACGGTAGTCAGTTGAGACACTGGGTGGTACCCTGAGCATAGGAGACCTCAAAGCCTACTCCCATAGTGACACACTTTCTCCGACAAAGCCACGCCTCCTAATAATGCCATTCTCTATGAAATTATGGGGGTCAGTTGCATTCAAACTAGCACACCAAGTATGGTGGCTTAGATAAAGAGGTGAGGAGGTCAAAGGGTCAGTCACCCCTGTTTAAATTAAATGTAATATCTGAACCAACTAAGAATGTTCTTGTCTTCCTTCATCTCAACTTTCCATACAGGCTTCAAGAGCAGTGGTTAGGGCCTGGATCACAGAAACCTTTCCCCCTGAACCTAAAGCCACTGTTAGCCCTTGTGCTTCACCGGAGTGTGGGCCTTGGTCCAGAGTTTCTGTGCTGTTCTCTGATTCTGTTTTTAACCCGCAGGTCTGATAATGACTGTGAGCAAACCCTGTTACTTTGGAAATCTCCTCCTGGGGATCGTAGGTGTGGACGTCAACCTCGCTTACATTCTTGAAGATGTGACCTATTACCAAGATTCTTTGGCTTCCTATACTTTTCTCATAGATGACAAAGGTAATTTACAGAGAGTTCATTGTTAGGAAGAACACTTTCCTTTGCAACTTAAAAAAAAAAATGGTCTGTGAATATTCTTGTGCTGATAAATGAAGTGGGTTAAAGATAGTTTTCAGAGAAGTTGTGCTGGGACCGTTGGGGCAGTGGAAATGTATCGTACAGATGGTAGAATGAATTCACAACCCATGAGGTCATGCTATGCTGGCTTGTGAGATCGCAGGTTTTTAACATCAAGAAGTTAGACTTGGGGGTGAATAATGCCTCAAGGGGGGTTTAGATCGCCTTTTGTTAGCATCCTTATCGTTTGATTCCCTGGCAGGAAGGTTTATATATAACCACATTAGAACATTTAATAAAATGGAAACCAGAAAAACGAATACCACCTAAATAGCCTCAATTAGACATATGTTCAGTAATTTAAGAGCTCTTTCAACACTTCAGGAGTTTTATGAGCTCTCACATAAAACAGGTTGAGGTTTTATTGGACTGCTAAGGTACATAGGAGGTTTTATACCCTGGGCAGCCATCCCAGACGGTCCACAGTTCAGACCAGTAATGGGCACATTTGTTAGATCCAGCATCCTTCATCTTCCTTATACCATGTTTTATTCTGTGATTTCAGGGTATACACTTATGCATCCATCTCTTACCAGGCCATATTTACTGTCAGAACCTCCCCTTCATACTGACATCATACATTACGAAAATATCCCCAAGTTTGAATTGGTTCGGCAAAATATCCTAAGGTAAGAAAGAGGTGAGGGGTGCAGTATTTCATGTTTTTTGAAAAGGGGGCCTATTGTGATCAAATATGAGTGTTTGCCATAGGGTATAAGGCAAGTGTACAAATTATTTTCTTGTCTCCTGAGTAACCTTTCATAATGATAGGAGCCAAAGGCCTGGCGATGGCTCAGTAGGCAAAAGTGCTTGCCATACAGGTTTGACAATCCAAGCTTGATCCCGGAAACCACATGAAAGTAGGAGAGAATTGATTCCACATAGTTGTCCTTGCACCCTTTCACCATGGTAACCCCCCCCCAACATACACACACATACACTCTCATTGTGAATATGTATACAATAACAATAAATAAAACTAAATTAGAAAACAAGAATTTAAAAAAGGGTAGTCAGGATCTTGCTCACTTGATGTAACAGGGAAAGTCTCTCAAAATTATTTGGAGGCAATGTCTTGTAGATCAAATTCTACATTTACACTGAGTTTAATTGTAAAATAAGGCATATGATAACTCATTTCCAGAAAGTGTTCTGCTTAGACCAAACTGAAATTTATTAGTAAAATAAAAGGTTAAGATAAGGACCAGTAAACAGCTTGTCTGTGGAGCATCTGACAGCAAGGTTTGTGCAGCACTCTCTTAAAAAAAGATTGGATGTTTTCCAACTGTGATATGTTATTTTGGCAGATGGTAACCTATGGAGAAATGAGTCTTGTGCTCATTGGTTGAAAATTAATAAGTGAGTGATGTGAGACAAGTCAGTCTCTGGAAAGAATTAGCACTGGGGGCAGGGTAGAGGCAAAGGATGACTTTTAATGCAGAGTTGACATAGCACTTCTACAAAATGAAAATCTCACATCATGTCTTTCAACAGTGATGAGTTTCAGTGCTGTTCAGAAGCAGGGGATGGCCATTGACTCCCAGCTTCTTCCTTGCCTTTAATTAAGTGCTTAATTTTTCTTTTCTTGCCTAAGGTATTTAGTTCTTTTTTTTTTTTTTTTTCTGGCACAGCCTCCCTCTAGGCAGCCGGATTATCACAGTCCCTGTGAACTCATCTCTGTCTTGGCACATAAACAAGCTGAGGGAGACTGGAAAGGAGGCCTACAACGTAAGCTATGCCTGGAAGATGGTGAGTGGAAGGAAGTCCTTTGGATGGGACTACCCATGATGTCCAGTTCAATGCTCTTCTTATAACAGCACCGGAGAACTTGGGTCAGACTATGTGACTGGCCAGATTTAAAGTGGCTAGGGGAAAAAGACATTCCACAGATGGTTCATATTCTTTCCCCTTTCTTGTTTAGAAAACCAGTAATTGTTCATGACAAAGGGATCAAATTATATAAAAGGATATGAAGGAGTAATAATATGTCCGCTCCCTCCTGCCCTTGCCCCATTTCCCATCCACAACCACTTCAATCCATTTCCAGAATTGTTTTCTGCACACACAAGTCTCTGTGTGTACACATGCATGAAGTGCTTAGTGGCTGTGTGGATTTATGTAGATAGACCAAAGCCCTTTAAATGATTTTGTTTTTCAGTTACATTTACTTACTTGCACATGTGTGGGCACATGGAGGCCAAAGGACAACCCGTGGAAGTTAGTTCTCTGTTTCCACCAGGACAGACCTCAGGGTATCATGGTTGGCAGCAAGTACTTCCACCTGCTGAGCTAGCTGCAGAGCTTTTTTTTTTTTTTTTTTTTTTTTTTTAAATATAGATCATTCCCAGTAGCCTGTTTGGTCTTTTATCATCATCATCATCATCACCATCATTATTATTGTGATTGTTTTGTAATTTAAACTCAGATTGTGGAAATTAGGAGTTGAAAAAGAAGATTTAGAAACATAAATACCCTGAGATGCTTTAAGGAAATGAGGTCCTGGACTAGAGTTTGGGGTGTTTAACGTCAGCACTAGTGGATTAGCAGTGTAGCTATGACCCCTGGCTGCTTTGAACAAACACCATTCAGACACTGAACCTTAGAATCATAGAGAAACAGATGACAACACTCTGTTTCTCTCCTTTCCTTTCTCAACATGGCAAAAACAATGTATTTACAAGGCCCAAGGTTCAGTAACCAAAAGAAGAATGGATATTCATTTTTATCCCCAAATTTTCATTACTGAACTTAAAAATGTAGTGTTGCTTGCTAGATGGAGGTATCAGTCTATTGTTTATTTGTTCCTTTAAGAGCTTCTCATTGGACATTTAGTACACAGAAGAGGGATAGATAGAGTGATACACAGGTGGAGAGATAGCTCAGCAGGTGAGAGCAGGAGTAACTCTTGAAAAAATGTCCCAGGCACAATTCCCAGCACCTACTCTGGGCAGCTTGCAACTGCTTGTAACATACGCACACACAAACAGACACACACAATTAAATATTTTAAATAAGCCTTTAAAAATTATTTATTTTATAATTTTTTTTATTTTATATACATTGGTGTTTTGCCTGCATATATGTCTGTGTGAGGGTGTCAGATCTTGGAGTTACAGACTGTTGTGAGCTGCCATGTGGGTGCTAGGGACTGAATCCAGGTCCTGTGGAAGAACAGACTTTTAATTGCTGAGCCATCTATCAGCACACACTTTTACTCTCAGCCCTCAGATAGATCTCTGAGTTCAAGGTTAGCCTACTCTGCAGAGTGAGCTCTAGAATAGCGAGGGCTACACAGACAAACCCTGTCTCAGTGGGGGGGGGGGGAAATTGTGTCATAAAACCAGACTTTTGTGTTTAAATTCAGAAATTTCTGTCTTCTAGAATACTTTCCAGTACATTCCAATGAATATATTTCAGTTACATCCTGAATGGTATTTGCAGTAATAATTGTTAATATTTTAAAAAGAAAGAAATGTGACTGGACAGTGGTGGCACAAGTCTTTAGTTCCAGTACTCAGGAGGCAGAGGCAGGCGAGTTCAAGGCCAGCCTGTGCTACAGAGCAAGTCCTAGGACAGGCTTTAAAGCTACAGAGAAACCCTGTCTCAACCCCCCCCCCAAAAAAAGGAAAGGAAAGAAAAGAAAGAAGGAAGGAAAAAGGGTAGGCCTCTATGTGGCCATTGGGCAGTAAATAGAACTCAGTGTCAACAATTTTGAAAAGAAGAATTTCTCTTCTTCCCATATTGATAAACCCTGAGCTATGTCCTGAGTTCTGTAATTCAGGCAATCTTATCAGAAAGCTTCACTGCCTTTCTCAGAGAGCTAAACTTGTCACCCAGGTCACTATCAAGTGAAAAACTAAGAAGGCAATGAGATTCAAGGCCAATCAAGCTTGACTCATTACCCAGCAGTAAGGGCAAATATTTTTAAACTTCTTTATCTGTGTGTGTGGGGGGGGTGTTGATATTCACCTTTTCCCAAGATATAAAATGGATCTTTCTACAATTATAATCCAAGAAAAGTCTGCTGTTACTGAGACAATCTAGCAAAAACACTTAGCATCTATTCTTTTACTGTACTCATCTGAATATAACGAGATTAAGTTAGCACTGTAAAGAGATTGCTCTTTCTAGCTAGGTATTTTTCTCTTACTAAATAAACTAAGTTCTATAAAGTTATATTCTGGTTATTCCAATAGGGTTCCATTTTGGGGTCAGTGGAACTTGCAGCATAAGGAAAGCTGAACTTCAAGGACACCTATGTAAAGATGAGCAGTGAGGGAAGGGTAGATGCTGTTGAGAACTTGCCATCAACCTTCTAATTCAGGGCATGATGGAAGAGGATTATACTTGCTAATCTAATTGACTATGTTTGCCGAGGCCCTTGAAAGCAGTTCCAGGAAGATGTAAATTGCTTCTGAGTTTAAAGATTCTGAAGCCATTCTCACAAACCCTAAGTTTAATTTAACTCTAACCTACCTGGTTTAAAATTTCTGCATTAGTACATCACCTGAGCCATTTTTATAAGGCATTGGTTTTGTAGTTCTAACATAGCCATCCTTGCTCTCTCATTAATTTACAAACCATCTTTTAAATGGACTCTTTGGGGTTGAGGAAGACACATCAGTGGGAAAAGTGTGTGTTGTGCAAGAATGATGACCTGAGTTTGGATCACCAGCACCTATATGAGCCCAGATGTGTATCCCTAATGTTAGCACTGTAGCTCAGAGACAGGAAGATCTCCATCCACCTCCACCCCACCCCCCACAGAGGCTTCATGGCAAGCTAGTTTAGGCAAGTCAGCAAGCTCCAAGGGCACTGAGAAATCCTGTCTCAAAAAACAGAGGAGTGACTGAAGAAGGCATCCCAGTGACAATCTCTGATCTCCACATGTGCTTCCAAGCACATGAAGGCATGCATGTGTGCGCGTGCGTACACAGACACACACACACACACACACAAGTAATAATAATAACAACAATAATAATAAACAGGCTCTTTGCATCTTGCAATATATCAGATTTACATAGCTATGTACTCTTTGATGACAGTCTAAGGAAAGCATCACTATCTCATTGTGTGTGAATGTCATTGACTTATACAAACCTCCATGATACGAGTCAGTCAACTGTACCTGGCTGCTTGATGCCATGAAAGCACAGGGTATGCAGAGCCATATGGCTGCGGCCAGAATAACACAACACAGTGGGGTTTTTAGTAAGTATTTGTATAAGTAGAAATATATATCCTAAAATAATTATTAAAGTTAGGGTAGAATGAATATATAAAGTGTAACTGAGTTCTTCCTACAAACACTGAAGTTTGATTGTGCTACCCGTTTATGTGGCTGACAAACTTTACCCCATTGGACAATTAATCATGAGTTAGTTGCATTGTGATCTTTCAGTGGCATCCAGACATGACAGGCATTTACAGCCCCGTTCTAGTATTATGGGGCCACCGTTTTTGGTGGTAAGTCACTGATTAGCTTGTGATCCTTGGGAAGACATATTCCTCACTAAATTTTTTTCCAACACTCATTTCTAAGAGAAAGCGGATCTGGAAGTTCATTGAGTTTATTGTGTTAAACTGCTACAGCAGCTGCCTAACCTGGACAGAAATGTTGATCCAGCTAGACTGGGCAAGAGTACCATAGAATCTGTGCTTCCTATGAGTTTAAACAGTGATGTTGTTCATTTCGAGCCTGGTAGAGACAAGACAGTGCTTGTTAGGGATAAAATAAATAAGGTGGATTCTGTAATGCCTGACCCTGAACCCTTCTCTTACTGAGGATCCCCAACTGATTAAGAACAGTCAACTCTCAGAAAACTTCTATAAAAACCAGTAATATCTTTTTTTTCTCCTAAGTTTAGAGGATATACCTAGGTCGAACTAGTCAAGTACTTTATCACTGAGCCACACCCAAGCCCCAGCTGTGCATTTTAAATGCGATTTCAAGTCAAAGTAAAATTAAACAGTTTGTACACAAACACAGACACACACCATTAACCTATCTAAAACATGAGATGGTCACAGTTCTCAGGGGGCTCTTCTGTCTACTCATTAGCTATAGAATGCTGTGTTACACACAAGCTCCTTTCCACAAGAAAGAATACCAGAAAATACCTTTGGTAAATCCTTATGTTGTCCATCTGACATTGCCTTGCCAGAGAGAAGACATCAGAGAATAATGTATGCAATGGAACCTTCATTTTCTGTGTTAGGAATTCCTTGCTGATTTTGTTTGTTTGTTTCTTTAGGTGCAGGACACTTCCTTCATTTTGTGTATTGTGGTGATTCAGCCGGAAATACCTGTCAAACAATTGAAAAACCTCAACACTGTGCCCAGCAGCAAGTTGCTATATCACCGGCTAGATCTCCTGGGCCAACCTAGCGCTTGCCTCCACTTCAAGCAGCTGGCGACTCTAGGTAAAGCCCATGGGTGCCTCAGTTTCCTTCATGATCTTACTCAAAGAGTGCATCATAAACATCTGTGTGATTCCTGCTCCCTCTCCAGCCCCAAATACTTCATATTTGCAGTTCTAGAAAATGTAAAGCAACCAGGTACAGTGGTTCACACCCACAGTCCCGGTAGTAATTAGGCTGGGGCAGGCAGATCACTATGGACTGAAGGCCAGCATGAATTACATAGTGAGTTTCTGGGCAGCTGAGGCGGTTGAGTGAGAACCTGTCTCAAGAAACTAATAATAATAATATAAGTAACAAAATATACTATGTGCAGCATTGTATTCCTTGCCTTGGTCAAGTTGCCTAGAAGAGGCTGAGATGAGGATTTCTATTTTCGTGATTTTTACATAAGCTCTCAAAAGAGGCCAGTGAGGAGGGGGAAGACAGTAGACAGAAAAGACAAAACAAAGTTCATCCTAGATAATGCTCCAGCCACTTCCGTCTCAGGCTCAGAGTGTCCATGGCCCCAGCATCTTCTTAGACTACAAACAAGGAGATCGATCAGCTTTCATAGTCCTCAGCCCCACTCAGCCTGCAGCCAGTGCTAGGCATGTTTTGATTGTTCAGAGGCCACAAACAGTGAAGGACAGGACGCAGATATGAGGATGTGCAGGTGTGGGGAAGGCGTTGAAGACTGATGTAAAGGAATCTGATGTTCACGTACTGATGGTATCTTCCACGGGACCTGACCTACCTCGAAAGAGTTTAGCCATAGGCAGTCTCCAAAGGATGACGGTGGGATGTACTAACTATTGCAGAGTACCAGGTGTTGGTTGATCTGTGGTAAAGGAAGGAATTTGGGCCAACCAAAGAAAAATAATTTCCTCAGACTAAGGTAAAGTCAGTTTCCTCTGAAATTAATGCCACAACTCCAGTATCTACCAGTTTATTTCTATTTCTATATATCTTATAGATTGAGTTTTTTTTTTCTTTCTTTCTTTCCTTTTTTTTTTTTTTTTTTTTTTTTTTTTTTTTGAGAAAGGGTTTCTCTGTATTGTTTTGGAGCCTGTCCTAGAACTCACTCTGTAGACCAAGCTGGCCTCAAACTCACAGAGATCCACCTACCTCTGCCTCCCAAGTGTTGGGATTAAAGGCATGCACCACTACCGCCTGGCTGTTGTTTTGCTTTTTATATTAGTTACTTTACAGAAGTATCATTATATAATCCTGGCTAGTGTCAAGCTCACTTTCTTCCTGCCTCAGCCTCCCAAATGCTGGAATCATGGGTGTGTATCACCATGCCTGATCAGTCTTTGGATTTTGATGGTTTTACATAAACTATTGGTATTTAAATTGATTGTTTCTATAGTTGAATTGGTACCTTCTATGTTTATTACAATTTTCTGCTAGTATCTTGTTCTTTTTTCCTGTTGCATCTTCTGGGTTTTGTTTTTGTTTTGTTTGTTTTTATGGTGTTTAGATTTTATTTCTGACATATAAAAACAGTAAAAATTGTATATGTTTATGAGCCACCTAGTATTTCATACACACCTGTACATTGTGTCACATCTAAATCAGGTTAAACATCCTGGTCTTCTCAGTCACCCGTAATTCACTCATGGAAATTGCTTTCAAAATCTTTTCTCCCATCTATTTATTTAAATGTACGGTGCATTCTCTGCCATCACCCCACCATGTAATAGCTCCTGTGTTTTTGCTTTAACTATAGCTTAGTACCTGTTATCAACCACTCCTTCACCCCCCCTTCACACCCCACCACACCCTACCACACCCCACGCTCACCTGGCTATGGTGACTACCTTTCTACTTTCACCTTCAGCTTTCTAGATTACACCTGAGGGAGATCATGCCGCATTTTTCCTCCTCGGCTTATTTCACTTAACAGAATGACCTCCAGTTCAATGCAAGATTTCACTAGCTTATGGCTGCATACTCTTATTATATTTCTGTGCCATGTTTTCTTTATTACTAGTTAACACTTGAGTTGTTTCCATTTCGGGCTACTATGAATAGTGCCACATTGAGCATGGGGGTACCAAATGTCTCTTCTATGGTCTGATATGATTCCTTTGGATATAGGGGAGAATTACTGAATCCTGTGGTGATTCTACTTTTAATTTCTTAAGGAGCCTTAGTAGTGTTTCCCACACTGGTTTACTATACTAACTTATTCCCACCAATGGTATACAAGGCTTCTTTTTTTTTTTTTTTTTTTTTTTCACATCTTCATCGAAAAGCATTATGTTTCATCTTTGGGTAAGAACAGATATATATTTGAGTCATACCCACTTGGTTGGCCATGCTGATGTGTGGCAGGTGTTTAGGAGGCCTTTGTAGCCTACGTAGTCAGTAAGTCAGTACACTAAGGATGCCCACTGTTTAGAGAAACAGCTACCTTCTGATTCCCTGTTGAAAATATTTAGGATTCAAAAAAATTAATGTTCACCACAGTTAGCAAGCCGAGGAGATGGACACAGGTTGGAAGGAGATCAAGGATAGAGTCTCTATCTCTGGGTTCCAAATGTGAATACTGGTATTTGAGTTCCTTCTTTCAATTCCTTTCTAGAAAATTCTTTCTTGGATATGAGATCAAAACACCAAACCACACTAAGTGATCTTTTCTGTGGCACATTTCAAAAATATCAGCAATTTAGAGAAAGCCTATAATGTTAATCAAAGAAGGCTGGATCTTGCATTTGTTTGTTTTGATTTCGGTTTTGCAGTTTATATTCTCTGTTTTATATGAAAGAAAGCATAATTTTTCACATTTTAATGAAATGCTTTACTGTAAGACTTTTAAATTCTAAGCCAACAAACCGCATACTACTGCAGGCAGAGATGACAAACTGTCCAGAGATTTGAGTGGGTGGGGGTCAAGTTCAAGTTACCTGGTGAGAAAGAAGCTCCACCCCACATTTAGATTTCATTTGTATAATTCCTCATAGCTGCACTGTCCAATATATTAGCTACTGGCTGCCTGTAGTTGTTTAACACTTGAAAAGGGGTCAGTCAGCATCAAGGTATTTGGGAGTCAGGTGGTGATGGCACACACCTTTAATCCCAGCACTCAGGAGGCAGAGGCAGGCAGCTCTCTGTAAGCTCGAGGCCAGCCTGGTCTACAGAGTGAGTTTCAGGATAGCCAAGGCTATACAGAGAAGCCCTATCTCAAAAGAAAACAACAACAAAAAACTTTTATGAGAAGTGTGATATGCATGCTAGATTTTTGATTATATTATGAAACTGTCATGTTTTTAGTAGTCTAGAAGTGTATTATCAGAATTCATATAACTGTTTCCTTTTGCCTTTCGGGCTATCAGAAAATTTTTAATTACATTTACAGATGCCATTGTATTAATATTACAACTGGACAGCATTACTCATGAGTGTAGCTCCTACCAGCTCAAACACAGTCTGAGTGGCTGAGCCCAGGCCACAAAGGCAGACTTGAGCCAATGCCCATTGTCCCAGGGAGCCCTTTCCACCTTGCCATCCCTGCTCCCCAGGGTGTGAGGACCCTGGGACAATGCTCAGCAGGGACAGTCTTGTTTCAGTTGCAATGAAAGGCTTATTAAAATGCAACAACAGGAATGGGAAACATGGGAATTGAGTGGTTCCTCTCTGACTTCACCAAAGAGGATTATGACACAAGGCATGAAATGTGTGTCAATTGTCTTCCCAAGAGGCACTTAGGTCTCAGTAGTAGATGTTACACACTTGCCTCACACACACAGGCTCTGGTTTCCATCCCAAGAAGTATGATGGGAAGATAACATCTCGTGGTGTGCAAAAAGAGGAAGAAAATGTGTTTTAAAATACATTCCTAAGGAGTTCCATGTATGTATATGTATAAATGTATACACACGTATGTCTACCTCCTGGACACAAAGGGTTATATGTCATATGATGCTGTTTGCTCCCCTTTATGCCCCAGGTGTCTTACTGCATCAGCCTTTTCTGAAATGCCAGTCTGCCCTGGAAGCACAACTACTTTCCTGTACCCTGGCCTTCTCGTAACACTCCAGACTCTGAAATGTATTTGTCTTACACTGTTTTCTCCTAGATTCCTTCTGCCTGCTCTCTCTGATTGGAACCAAAGCTCTCTAAGCACAAGTATACATAACCCCTCTTTCTCACATGCATGAACATATGTGCGTGCATACACACACACACACACTCACTCTCTTTTGGGGATGGACCGCTGACTATAAACACAAGTCTACAGTATGTTGAATCAGCCTTTGCAAGCCAGTACCTTGTATCTCTTTGATTACTTGAGATTAAGGCAATAACAATCTCCCAGGCTGTCCTATGAAGATATCCTAGGAAATAAATCACGTCATGGGAAGCAGCAATTTCTGAGACTGGCATTCTGCTGATTTCCAATTAAAAATCCTAGATGGAAACATGATCCTGGAATAATGTCTTTGGGGAAACACTGGAAACTTCCACGATAGTGAGAAATTGAAGATAAAAAACTCAGAAGACATCCTGGATTCAATGCAATAATAATAATAATAATAAATAATAGTAATAATAATGCTGCTCTACAGTATTTACCAAGCTAGAGGAGGAGGAGGCTATGTACTTAAATTGCTTCAAGTAGCTTCTTGGGGCACAAGGGGGAACAATCAAATCCAATGCCCCCAACAGGTGGAGTCATTAATGAAATGACCTCTCTATCCCCAGTACAATTACATCCTTGAGATGGGAATGGAGTGACTATATGACAAGGCTATCCTGGCTCCTCACTGGAAATTGCTTTTACTGCCCTTCCTGCCTCTCCATAGGGTCTACATGACAGAATCATGCAACCGGTCCATGCCCCCTAAGAGACTCCCTTTCTCTAGGCATAAAGCTAGTTTGCTTCTTGTCATTATGTGGCCTTTTGTATATGTTGACTTGGGGCCTGGCATATACAAGGCAAGAACTCTATCTACATCATCAACCCAAAATTGATTTAGTGTTGTTTTAGCCACCACGTAAAAGCTCACCAAGTTACAAGGAACTGAGACATCACGTTCTTTCAAAAGAACAAAACAAAACAGATTTCAAAGAGAGATGATGGTGTGATCGATCATCATCATGGGCTTTATGTCACGTGATAATATTTTATGGCAAATTTTAAAATATGCTAAGGCTTGGTGTGTGAGTGTGTGTGTGTGTGTGTTTTTTTTTTTTTTTTAAGTACTCGGGAAGCAAAGGCAAGTGAATTTCTGTGATTTTGAGGCTAGCCTGGTCTACAAAGAGAGTTCCAAGCCTGCCGGAGGAAATAAAATAAAAATATAATAAGGCTGCACAACCAAGAGGTTTAAACAGAAAATTTTGTTTCATGCTATGATTCACTGCAGGGATTTTTCCCTCAAGTAGAAAACTAGTTTTCATGTTAGAATTAGTGCTTAGGAATGCACACATGGGATACTCTCTATAAGCTTTGTTTGTGGCACGTTTGCCTGCCACCTGTGACAATAATTTTTTTAATTTGATTTTGGCATTGATGTCAACACTTCATCTTTCTTCTTCCTGAATGACAGGACTGATATGAATACTAAATAGGCGTCACCGATACGCACCTGCAAATGCTGTTCAGTGTTATTTTCTCCACTTTACAAATGCTTGCCCAACGTCTCACAACCAGAAAATGGTGGAGCCAGAGTCTGTCCAACCTGGCACCATGTTTGTACTGCACCCTCTATCCTAACAAATACACTGCATGCATATCTAAGATACCTAGCATTTCTGCTTCCAAGATTTGTGCCTCTGCGGGCACATTCCTCCTGCTTCACTCGTAGGACCATAAGTTCCCTGAAGGGAGAGAATGTGGCTTTTTTCTCCTTCCCTTTTTCTTTGCTCTCATTGTCAAGCTCTTTGTGTCCTTGTGGAAGACATTAAGCCACCGTAGCAGACATGTTGGCAGAGCCTGAGTGATGCTTTTGTTTGGGGCCCAGATGAAGTCTCTGTGTTCTGATGCCGGCTTTGTTGGGGCTTCTTTCAGAAAGTCCAACCGTCATGCTGTCTGCCGGCAGCTTTTCCTCCCCCTACGAGCACCTCAGCCAGCCAGAGACCAAGCGCATGGTGGAGCATTACACGGCCTATCTCAGTGATAACACTCGCCTCATTGCTAACCCGGGACTCAAAGTAAGTTCTGGCACAGGCCACATCTCTGGAGCCCCTTTCCACAGGCCCAGGAGGGGGTGCTGGCCATGAACCTTTGAAGTATGGAACCCTGTTTGCATCTGGACCTCTGCAGAGGATGTGCCCTGGGGAGGCTAGTCAGCTGTGACCTTTTGATGGATTAAGGAGCCCACTGAGTCACATGAAGAATCTACATCAGGTCTCACATGCACGGGGGCTTTCCACGTAGGGGGTGTGATTAAGAGACCAGAGAACACTTCCCTCTCCATTTCTTCCCACGGAAAAGAAGTGTTCTGCTGTCTGTTGAGATAAATATGATATTCAAGCACCAAAGAGGCTGTGTGTTTCTAATGATTCACCACAGGAATTTTCTGAAACTACGACAGGCTAGCTAGGTGAACAAGTGAGTAGTCACACCTCCCCTGCCTGTATGCTGTGAACTTTTGTTTTCACCAAGTTTGGCTGCGCCCATCTGCTGTGGAATGGTTTTCAAGAAGTAATTGGGCTTGGCTTCTCTGCAAGAGAACCTTGGGGAGCCCTGCCAGCAGCCCACACTCTTTTCATATGAGGTTTGGTTTTGTTTTGTTTTGTTTTAAAAGGGGCCCTGCAATGTCTTCCTTTGTTTCTTAGTTCTCTGTCAGAAATGAAGTCATGGCGACCAGCCACGTCACAGATGAATGGATGACACAGATGGAAATGAGCAGCCTGAACACATACATTGTCCGCCGTTACATAGCAACGCCCAATGGCGTCCTCAGAATTTATCCTGGTTCCCTCATGGACAAAGCATTTGATCCCACTAGGAGACAGTGGTGAGTCTGGGGGAACTTCAGTTTCCAGTTCCTCCTAGTCCTGGGAGTCTTGATAAGTGCAGGCAGTAAAGCCATTTTGGGCAATCACGGGAGAAGACACTTTCAAGGGGGATAAAATCGTTTTTGATCTGTTTTCTTAATAGTAACGGGTGTGTGGGTTATGTTTTCTGACTGCATTGCCTTTATATCGCTATTGGAATTTTGAGAATGAAATGTTTTTACATCTGTCCATTTTGACTCCTAAGACCTTCCTTGATTCCACTTCATGACTGGAGAGTCGTCTTGAATTTAACATTTCATTTTACTTGATGTAATTATGGCATCGTGTATGACCTATAGACAATGAGCACATGTAAATTCTGGACTATTCTTTTACTTCTGAGCTTTATTTTCACAGCAGGGCTAGCCAGGCACTATGGCAGGAGGCAGCATGAGCCAAGAGCAAAATCATTTATCCTGTGTTGGGTAGCAACCAACTTCACTCAGGAAGTCAGCTCTTCATGCCCACTCCCCACCCATAATTATCCTTAATGGTTTCTTCGTGTTTATTTATTTCTCTTCCTCCATTGGTCCTTTTCTATATTCCCGTCTGAATCATCTGAACCACAGCTCTCAGTAAAAGTTCAGAGAAAAGTACATACTATAACAAGGAATCTGTTTCCCAACTCTTTGTGTTGTTGGTGCTATTGTCAGACAGAAGAGGTGAGAATCTGGGCCGGGTCTGCAGCTCAGTGGTAGAGCACTTGCCTACCTTGGGTAAGCCATGAGTTCAAAACCTCAGCTCCACAAAAAGAAGGAGATAGTGAGGTAGCTCAATGGTTAAGAGCACTTGTTCTTGCAGAAGATCCAGGTTTAATGCCCAGTCCCACATAGTAGCTCACAAACATCTGTAACTCCAGTTCCAGGGGCTCCAATACCTTCTGGCCTCTCAGGCAAACATGTACATGGTGCACATACATTATAAGCAGGCAAAACACACATAAAATTTCTCTCTCTTTTTTTTTTTTTAAATTTAAGCAAGATTCATTTTGTGTTTTCACATGATACCAGCACAATTTATAGTATTTTAGGACTACAAACTCACTGCTCTTGAAACATTCAGAATCATTTATGCCTAAAATCACATGGTTTCTCTTGGGTCTCTGTTAGGTATCTTCATGCAGTAGCTAATCCAGGGCTGATTTCTTTGACTGGTCCTTACCTAGATGTTGGAGGAGCTGGCTATGTCGTGACGATCAGCCACACAATTCATTCATCCAGGTAATTATTTTAATGAATTTTTAGTCATATAAAATCTTTTAGATTACATTTATTAACATATCTAACATGTGTTTGTGTGTAGTTTGTGTGCATGCATGCATGCACAGGACACACTCAGAGACCAGTGTGGAAGGGACTGGTTCTCTTTGACCATGAGGGTCCCACCCACGCCTTCAGTCCCATACATACACATGTAAAAAGGAAAGGAAATACCAGCTGGAGCATGACAGCTTTCATGGCCAGAATTGCTTTGTTTTCAAGCAAAGGAGCGTTTTGTTTTGTTTTTTTTTTAGTGAGGAAGATGTACCAGGGCACTTGGAGTTCTGTCTCTGTCTGACTCCGTAGAATTATGTGAGTTGTCTACTTTGGTTTTCTATTTGGTGGTTTTGAAAGTGTCTCTTAAAAACAAGAGCTTTTTGAAAACTGGTGTTGCCAGAATGCTGATTAAAGTTGGTACCACGGGGCATATATTAGGAGGTGTTGTTTCCTACAACTTAAAGCTTCATCTCTGACACTCCAAACATCAGGGAGAGTTTGGATGGAAAGGCGCATTGCTGTAATCCCTTCCTTATACAAATAACTATTTTCTCAGAGCAACCAAGAAAACCATGTTTTTGACTGATACCTGGCATGATGCCCTAAAATTTAGTGGAAAGCAGATTTCCTTGATTCTCAGTGATGCTCATTATTCATCAAATGACTGGTACTAGTAAGAATCCCCCCAGCATCAGTTCATTGAGATAATAATTGGAAAGCAGAGAGGGTGGAATTCCAGCATTGGGCCCATGTCTTCTATGGAAAGTCATGCCTGTCACCAGCCAAATGCTGATTCTAGCGCAGTGGTATCTGCTTGACTGTCAGCTTCTCCCCAACACAAATATCAAACATAAGCAAGTAACCCTCACCCCAAGTACATCCTTCTGTGTTTCTGTTAACATACCATCTGGTGTTCACACGCCTGCATACGTGTCTGAAGAATGATAGTCATCACCCCCTCCATACTGTCTCATCAGTGAAGGAAAAGTAAGTAGACTGTCTCTTCCAGGGACAGAGTCTACCTCATCTTTGATGCCAGTAAAGGGGGCCTGAGTTGGGCTTTCAAAGATACCAGTGAGGTGCCTCATCATTGTCAGTTAAGAACACTTAGCCTTGCCTTCGATTGTGTGCTTTCTGTGCACAGGTCAAGGCCAGTTTTGAGCTTTTGTGTATGTGCACAAGCATTTTTTTTTTTTTGAGGGTTACATAAGGACAAGAAATTTTGATCTGGTGTGTTTGCCAACCTTTATAGGGCCTGTTCAAATGAAGCATGGTGGGAACATGGTGACTTTCAAATGAGAACTTCAGCTCTCCTCTCTGGTTACCCTGCTGTTTAACAACAACAAAATACCCCAGTTTCAGTCATAGAGTTGAAGTCACTGTGAATATAGATTCCCTACCACCACCACCACAGGAAGCCTATGCTTTGGCCCTGCTCAAAATGTAGCCCCCAACCTCCATCCTGTGAATATTTTGCTTAGCTGGGTGCAACTTAACTATTTAGAGCTGTGACTTTCCTCCATCACAGTTTAGATCCATGGCCCTCTGTCACTCAACAAAAGCCCCTGTGACTTGCACTGATAGATAGACAGGCTTTTCAAAGGTACCAGCTTGGAAACCTACTTCCCTCCTGAGATATGTAAAAATAGATTTGCTATTTATGGTTTATGTGACTGTAAATAAATTGAGGTGTTTTTTGTTGTTGTTTTCTTTTCATTTTATTTTGTTTTGTTTTTTGATTTTGTTTCCTGCTAGAGCCTGTCTCAAGTAATGATTTTAATGATTAAATACTACATAAAGCTTATAGAACAGTGCCCGGATCATGGGAAAGGGGCAAGGTATTGGAAGGTGATGGCTGGGAAGATGCTTAGCACTAAACTTGACAGTGTCAAGTGACAAGTAAATAGAAGTTATTTTATTGTCATGCTATTTAGGCTTTGAATTTGGCATTCGAATTGGTTGGAAGAAAGAGCTGACTTGTCTGAAACACAGCCACTCACCCCTGGCTTCAGATGTGCTTTGGTGGAGAGCTAGGGGAGGGCTTTCCAACTCAGAGTTCACCAGTCACTCATGGCAGCTCTGTCTGCTTCTTCTGTGAGCATTTCCAGTGGCCTGACAATCTAGCTGCACGTCCTTCCCATAGGATAACACTGCTGGGAATAAAGAACCTGGTCACATGCTCTCAGCAATGAAAACCGCATACATGTATTGCCATCAACCTGGTCCATTATGTTTAGAAATGTAGACTTGGCTGGATATTTCTATAACGTTCTTTGAGTTGCTATGGTAACAGTATGCCTAGCTGCAATTCAGATAAAATTCAAATCTAGGCTCACATAGGCAAGTTGCATGCTATTACTTCGGCATCTTGATTCATACTGGAGCAGATAGCTGCCATTCAGGGGAGGTTTAGAAGTAAAATGAGCAAACCCCAAAACACCTGAACAATACTTCCCACAGAAGCAAACCCATAGTATTGTAGGGAAGAGCCAGTCTCTGGTGCTGCCCCAGAAACAGGGAAGAGATGATATTTAAGTCTCCCAACTAGATGCTAATTTTTTTCATTCATAAAATGCAAACTATAAATTTTTTGTTAGCTTCTGCCACAGAAATTAAATAATGTAAAATTGTTCACAGCCCTGCAAATCTGACTTATGACTAAGACAATATGCTTTTGGAATTGGGCAGTGAGTTTCTGTCCATGTATATGCTGCTGGCCAAATGTCTCACTCTTGCAAGTTTCAGTGTTCCTAAATTGATAAAGCTTCCAAAGATTACTACAAAGCAGGAGGGGGGAGGGGCTAGAGAGACGCTCAGCAGCTAAGAGTGCTTGCTGTTCTTGCAGAAGACCCATTTTGGTTGCTAGCACTAGTTCCAGGAGGTTCAATATCCTTTTCTGACCTGGAGGACACCAGCCATGCACATGGTGACATGTATAAGACATGTTGACACACATACACAAAAAATAAAGACTACCACAAGAAAGGGCTGAGGCTGTCATACAGTAGGCCCCCATGTTTAAACCCCAGAGCTATGGAGAAGGAAGAAAAAGACAATCATGAAATGGCTAAGAATGATATTTTTTTTCTGGTATTTTCTTCATAGGGAGGTAGGTGATAATAGATGTTGGGCCCTTAACAGTCCATGTTGGATAAGCCCTGCTATATTTCACTAAGTCATTCTTGCTGTTCAGGTGTTTATGTTAGGGAGGCAACTTACATTACAAACACTATCACATTTAATTGCAATAGCAGGTGCTACTGTTATCTCCATTTTCATATGAAAAACCAAAGCTTTAAAAAAAGGCCAAATAGCATCCAGGAGCAACATAAATAAAACCAGCAATGCCAGAACTTTACCCCACATCTACCAAAAAGTTAGCCATTAGCACCAGGCTTTACCACCCAACTTTACCAACAGAGTGTCCTCCTTTGAGAGTAGTAGAATTATAGGACAGAGAGCTTGAAACAAAGAAGACTCCTTCTTAAATATAAACTGTTTTGAGTAGAGTCCACCATGGTATAATGGAAAGAAAACTGGACAGGGTTCCTGGTAATATTAAGTGGTCTTACTAAGTCTCTATGAGACCTGTTTCCTTACCAGCAAAATAAAGGAAGTATTTTCCTGCCGACCTGGACCCACCGTGGTGCCAGCCCCAGATAACACACTGAGACATTGTATTAGATATAATTCTGTTGGCCTGTTACTAGTTTCTTATCAGCTACTTCTGTCTTAAATATTAACCCATTTCTATTAATCTAAGTACTTCCATGTGGTCTTATCTTACCGGAGAGAGGGGCTGGTGTTCTCTTTCTGTCCTCCATCTTGGATCTCACTACCACTTCCTCTCTCCTCCTAGTCTCCTCGTCCTGCCCATCTTGCTTTCCTATTGGCCAACAGTGCTTTATTCATTATCCAATATAAGAAACATATTTGCAGAATGACATCTCCCATCAGTTAATGACAGCCATTCAGGTTCCTTTTCTAGAACTTTGCTGAAAGTAACTGCAGGGCCTGTGCGATGGTTCAGTGTAAGGCACCTGCTGCCAAGCCTGACAGCCTGAGTTTGATCCCTGGGACTACATGGGAGAAGGAGAGCTGAGTCTCACAATTTGTCCTCTTCTACACACATACACTGTAGCAAGCATGCCCCCACATACATCCACAAACACACAAACATATACATGCATCCATATGTACATACATATGTACATAATCTTTTTAAAAATTGTTTTAAGTAGCCAGATATGCAGCCTCTCCCTCTTCTACCTCTGACTGACGTTTTTGCTGAAAAGCCGAACCACTCTGAAGATGTGTGTGTGTGTGTGTGTGTGTGTGTGTGTGTGTGTGTGTGTGTGTTGGGGGCAGGGGTCCAGGGCAGTGGAATGGGCATAATCCACAGTTGTTCATGTTTGATGCTGGTTTTATTCCGAAAGCCATAACTAAAGGCTTAATGTTTTCCCTCAAGCCATCTTTATGTTACATCCAGTCATTCAGCACTTAAAGGCACGGGAAATGGGGAGGGTGTGTGTTTCTGACACTACACAATGCCGTAGCCATGTATGCTCTGTCTCTTACTGTCATTGGTGTCTTTCACATGCAGTACACAGCTGTCTTCCGGACACACGGTGGCTGTGATGGGCATTGACTTCACACTGAGGTACTTCTACAAAGTTTTGATGGATCTCTTACCAGTTTGTAACCAAGATGGTGGCAACAAAATAAGGTAAGCCCTTTGGAGACACCATTTCCTGTCTATTGCCAAAATATTTAAGAACAAGTTGGCACCAGATGTCAACCACATAGTTAGGATCAGTACCAAGAGTTGAATGCATGGCCTGGGTGTCCTATTAAGGTGGGTTGGGATTGTTGTCTGCTCCCTTCTCACATACACCTTTTTCCAAGTGTGTGTGTGTGTGTGTGTGTGTGTGTGTGTGTGTGCATGCACGCGCATGCATGCATGTGCAGAGGTCAGAGGACAACGTTGTGTGTCCTCACTTTCTACTTCTTTGAGGCAAGGTTCCTTATTCATGGCTGTAAATGCCAGGCTCCCTGGCCAATGAGCTTGCAAGGTTTCTCCTTACAGATAAGTGCCACTGTGTTAGGCTTTTCATGGGTGTGGCTGGTTGCAAGGCAAGTTTTTTTCCTGCAGAGGTGTCTCCTCAGCCCTTCTTTCCTTTCTGGAAGATGCGTGCTCTTTAATTTTTAGACAAATAGACCCAGTACATAGCAAGAAAAATAGCATGGTGCCCTAAAGTCTTGTTTCTGTAGAAGTCGGTGATTAGAAGCGTCCCTCAACTCTGGCGTTGGAAAGACCAGAGGGAGCTTCCTCTTGGGCAGCACCTTTGATGCTAACTTAGTCATTATGCCAATTTCTGTGAAATTTCAGCTGCTTAGACTGGCACTTTTTCACTTTCCCAGAAAGAGGCTCACAGAACTTGGAGACTTTGCCTCCTGGATTTCAAAAGAAAAGTCTGATCAAAGCAAGGGCATTCCCTTGATTCAGTGCAGACTGCTTTTAAAAATAGCTCTGTGGTTCAGCCTTGTGCTCCATGCTTCGTGTCACTGTTGAATTTCACATTGGCATTTAATGGGCATGTGCAGGGCTCCTGGCCACCACTGTGACTGATGCTGGGGGAAGAAAACAGAACATAGCCTTGATTAAAGTAGTTCTAGCTCAGCTTAGTGTTCCTACAAGTGTCTTTTTATATGACCAACTGTTGTATTTTGTTTATGTTTGTCTGAATACTCTTCTGCTTCCTTCAGAGAGAGAGAGAGAGAGAGATCAAACCTCCCCCTTCCAATTATCCTTTCGAAGAATTTCCCATCCCTCACTCTTGGATTGGATGGGCACATCCTCTATGAACTGTATAGGTGACCACAGAGCGATGTGTAGCTCTTACCATAATCTGGAGGCCACGTAGTACATCACCTCAGGAAAACAGTGTCTGTGAGGCCAGCAAGACTTCCTTCATTCCCCACCCCCCATAAGTCTAGGCAAGTTTGTTTTAAGTGGCATCCACTCATGCGAATGAAAGCTATCACTTGATTTGGCACAGGTGCTTCATAATGGAGGACAGGGGTTATCTGGTGGCTCACCCAACTCTCGTTGACCCCAAAGGTCATGCACCTCTGGAGCAGCAACACATCACCCACAAGGTACTCTTTGGCCAAGCTGGTCAGCCCTGTTCTGTGGCAGCCCGAAGCGTGTTAAGTGACACTTGTCTTCTGTCTTGTGGCCTTTTCAGGAACCCCTGGTGGCAAACGATATCCTGAACCACCCAAACTTTGTGAAGAAAAACCTATGCAACAGCTTCAGTGACCGGACAGTGCAGAGATCTTACAAATTCAATACTAGCCTGGTGGTAAGCTCATGTTCCCGCTTCTTCTTGGACAGTGAATGGAATAATGCCTGTGTCTGCTTCTTTGTTCTAAGTCACAGGACCCCACCTGTAGGACAGAAAGCTAGGATGGGACAGGGACTGTCTGAAAGTCACGGGGATGGTACGCTGATTTGATCAATACACCAGCTATATTAGTTCCCTGGGGCAGTGGTTCTCAACTTGTGGGTTACAGCCCCTTTGGGGGGTGTCAAGTGACCCTTTCATGGGAGTCACATATCAGATATCCTGTGCACCAGATGTTTGCATTACGATTCATAACAGAAGCAAAATTACAGTTATGAAGTAGCAAGGAAAATAATTTTGTGGCTGTGGGGTCACCAAAACATGAAGAACTTTATTAAAGGGTCACAGCATTAGGAAGGTTGAGAACCACTACCCTAGAGGAACAGAACTTATAGAAAGAGGATTTATTAGAGTGGCTTACAGGCTTGGTCCAGCCAGTCCAACAATGGCTGTCAACCAACAGAAGGTTCAAGAATCCAGTACTTGTTCAGTTCACAAAGCAGGATGTCTCAGCTGGTCTTCAATATACACTGGAATCCCAAAGGAGTAGGCTCTAATGCCAGTGAGGGAATGGACATGCTAGGGAGAATGAGGACAAGCAGGCAGAGACATCGAGCCAGCTTCCTCCTTCCATGTCCTTCATGAAGGTATGGCCCAGATTCAAAGTGGATTTCCACCTCAAAAGATCTGGATTAAATGTGTTATCTTCCCACCTCAAAGATCCAGGTTAGAAGTGGGTCTTCCCACTACACTACAAATGATTTAATTAAGGAAAAAATCCCTCACAGGTGTATGCAGCCATTTGGGTTTTAGTTAATTTAGTTAGCTCCACATGTAGTCAGACTGACAACTGAGAATAGCCATCACACCAACCCGTCCCTTATCCCTTTGAAATTTCTGTTGAGGGCTGTTCCCACACTCTGTACAAATGCCTGTGTTTCCATGTGCTCCTGCCCCCTAGAGATGGTTTAGCTGCCTGAATTTTGAAGGCCAGCCTCAGTCAGTCCATGATTCCCCACCATGATAGGTGGGGAACTTTATGGAAGTCATCCTGGAAGCATTTGAGAGGATTCTACATGATTTGAGTTGCTGCAAATTTTACATGGCTAAATGTGTAACTTTATTCTTACAAATTTGGGAATGATGGTAGTTAGGAAGGAACAAAAGTGGGGCATGGTGACAGAACTAACATTTGGAAACATATTCACAGGAAGCAAGTTTTTAATTTGCATAGGCATTTATGTATGTCAGTCATTAAATGTGCAGTTAAAGGCTAACTTTTGGTCTGTAGAGGAATGGCTCAGCAGTTAAGAGCACTTGCTGGTTACTCTTCCAGAGGATCCAGGTTCAATTCCCAGCATCTACATGGCAGCTCACAACTACCTGTAACTAACTGTTCATTCCAGGAGATGTAGCAATCCCACACAGACATACATGCAGGCAGGATGCAATGCTCATATGATAACAATAAATAAATCTTTAGCAAATAAAATAACAATTTTAATGGGCTGGATTAAATTGAAAATCTTAAATTATCCTGAAATGGGTTGTGAAAAACAATCCCCAGTGGGAAAGAGAAGCTTTCAAAGTAAGGTGCCCACAACGTCACCGTGCTGTCCCCATGCTGCCCCGCTGAGACCCGATTGATCCACTATGAGCAGCACTGATGGGGTGGGTTGGGGGGGGGGTTGGGATAGTTATTATATGAAAGTTTGCCTCTTTCTATGTGGTTTCCAGAATCCTCAGCAAGCAAAGCCACGAGGGTGGAGTAGAAACATTTCTGAAAGGCATATTCAAGTTGAATGGGAATTGAAATAATTTATCTTTTATTACTTTTTAAATTGCATCATGTATTTGTGTAAGTGTACAGATGTACATATAGCACATGTGTGGTTGCTTAGATGTACATATCACACATGTATGGAGGTTAAAGAACAACCATCGTTGGCATTTTCTTTGGACCGTCAACCAGCTCCCAAATAAAGACATGGGTACTTATTGTTGGTTACGAATGCTCGGCCTTAGCTTAGGCTAGTCCCACTAGCTCTTTTAATTTAACCTGTTTCTATTCATCTACATTTTGCCTCAGGGCTTTTTACCTTTCTTTCATTTGGAATGTCCTACTTTTTAGTGCTTCCTCTGTGTCTGCTGGCTGGCCCCTGATGTCCCCATGTCATTTCGTTTTGTTGCTTCTTCCTTGAGCCTAAATGATTCCTCCTCCTCCTTTCTCTTTCTACCCAAAAGTTCCTCTGATACTTCCTCCCTCAATATCGGCAGTTCACCTTTTTATTAGATCAATCAGTGCCTTAGGCAAGCAAGGCAAAACAGCAACACATCTTTACATAGATAAACAAATATTCCACAACATAAACAAATGCAACACATCTTTACATAGGTAAACAAATATTTTGCAACAATTTATACAGGTGTCAGTTCTCTCCACCATGTCGATCCCCCAGATGGAACTCAGGCTGTCAATCTTGGTGACAGGTATCTTCACCCACTGAATTCTCTTACCAGGCCGGGGATAAATAATTTCTTAATGGCTGAAATTTTCACCCAAGGGAAATTGGAACATTCTGGCAATGGAGCTTATTGCATAATAAGCCATGTCACTAGACAAAACTCATCCAGAATCAAAGAACACACTCTGTGCCACAACCCTGGTCGAAGTTGGACTCCTGGTCACACACAATTTTTTTTTTTTTTAAGATTCATTTATTTATTATGTATGTAACATTCTGCTTCCATGTATCCCTGCAGGCCAGAAGAGGGCACCAGATCTTATTACAGATGGTTGTGAGCCACCATGTGGGTGCAGGGAATTGAACTCAGGACCTCTAGAGGAGCAGCCAGTGCTCTTAACTTTTAAGAGATGAGTGACATGGACGTCAGTGTGAGTTGGAATAATTTGTCCAGAGAATTTGACACACATGCAGAAAGATGGTTATTGCATGACCTCATGATACAGCTTTTGAGGTGTTTTGTTGTTGGTTTGCTGGTTTTTTGTTTGTTTGGGTTTTTTTTTTTTTTTTTTTTTTTTTTTTTGTGGCACTCCCAGAAGCTGCTTATCATGTCTGCCATGTATGGAATGAGGAAAAAGACGCACTTAGTTCTGTTTCAGGGTTTCAGAAGCAGGACGTCAACTGGCCTCTTAAAGAACCTTTGTTTTTTAATGTACATCATTCTGGGAAGCAGAAAGGCTTGTTAATCAAAGGAAACAAGCATGTGGTTTGTGGCTAATTAGGTTTGCCTTTGAAACAAATTTTCCCAGAAGTTGGCTTTTACTGCTTCCTTAAGGTTTTGTTTTTATGATTGTATTAGTAGTCACTTTTCCTGTTGCTGTGGTAAAATACTGTGACAAAAGCAGCCTAAGGCCCACGGGTGGGTTCAGTCTGACCCACACAGTTCAAGGGTATAATCCACCATGCTGGAGAAGTCAAGACACAGCAAGCAGAGTGCATGCATGCGTGGTCCCCACGGCAGGCACGTCTTTCTGCTGCAGTTAACAGTTAAGAGAATTCCCCGCACTGTTGACTCAAACCAGCAACGATGTTATCTTTTTTCTTAAGGTTATATAAAACCAGGAGCTGGAGAGATGGCTCAGCAGTTAGGAACACTTGCTGCTCTTCCAGAGAACCTGGGTTCAATCCCTAGCACCTGTATAGCCACTCACAGCCATCTCTAACTACAGTTCCATGGGATCTGATGCCCTTTCCTAGCCTCGGCAGACACCAGGCACCAACCAAAATGGTGCATAGATTTGCAGGCCAAACAACCATGCATATAAAATAAAAAGTAAAAAATAAAGATTAAAAAATAATAATAATAATAATAATAATAAAATTAGCTATGAAAATTTACATTTGTGTAAGTATAGATGGAAGATAATATATACCAACCACCAAATGAAAATTCTATCTGACTGATAGAATGATAATTTTAGATATATAATAATAAAAAAGAATTTAACAAGCATTGCTCTTTGGGCCACATTTCAAACAGTGGCTGTAGGGGCTGATGAGATGTCTGTGTCATGAGCTCATGCTGCCCTTCCAAAGGAACCAAGTTTGGTTCCCAGCACTCACAATCAGGTAACTCACAACCACTCTTAACTCCAGCACCAGGGGACCCAACACCCTATTCTCTCCTCCACAAATACATACGGTACACACAGAGACCTACACACATACACATATATAAAAATAAATCTTTAGGAAATACTAAATATCTTGAACGGTAGCTGTGTGCTGCTTTCATAATCACAATCCAAGTTATTCTGTCTTCTGCCAGAGAAAGCCAAGTCTCCACACTCCTGTCTGTCGGTCCTGACCCTCATCTCTTCCTCAGGGGGATTTGACAAACCTTGTGCATGGCAGCCACTGTTCAAAGTACCGTTTGACGAGGATCCCAGGGACCAATGCATTTGTCGGCATTGTCAACGAGACCTGCGACTCCCTCGCCTTCTGCGCTTGCAGCATGGTGGACCGTCTGTGTCTCAACTGTCACCGGTGCGCTGGGGTTGCTCATTTAACATTTTATTAGCCAATGACAGGCATTTTGAACAGAAGAGGTGGCATGTGTCCTGAGGAAGGGAAGTCCGGGGTTACAGAAGCTTTTAGAATCTGTGCTGTTCCCACCACACTGTCACCATAGCTGTGGATTCAGGCCAAAGGCAATTCAAATTTTTGTCCATGGCTTCATTTTCCACTGTCAGTTGTGGATTTCTTTTTTCTTTTCTTTTTTTTTTTTTTAATATGAGTTCACTGGTGTGTGTATGATACTCTGCTAACACCTACCTCTTAACTACTAATTCTCTTTGCTTTTCAGAATGGAACAAAATGAATGTGAATGCCCTTGTGAGTGCCCCCTGGAGGTCAATGAGTGCACTGGCAACCTCACCAATGCCGAGAACAGGTAAGACATATACTCATGCGTGTGTGTGTGTGTGTGTGTGTGTGTGTGTTATATTTATATATGTACATGTTTATACACATATGTACATATGCATGTATAGATGCATAATCTCCACACTATGCTATTTTCTATAAATGTGCTGAGGGTTAAGAGTGTACAAAGGTGATTTGTTCTAATAAGGAACATAATCAGTAACCCAAGTTTTAAATAACATCTGACTTCATGTTTAACTATAAATGCGGTGAAATATCAACAGTGTGCAAGCTATGTTAAAGCTATATGAGGGAAGACAGAGGAGACGGTTCAGTGGGTGAAGTTCATGCACACATGAAGAACTGCGTACAGTTACTCATGCCCCTGCAAGATCCAGGCAGTGGCATGTGTCTGTAACCCCAACAATCCAGGGATCAGACAGACAGATCCCAAGAGCTCACTGGCCAGGCAGTCTAGCCGAGTCAGTTAGAGACCCTGCCTCAAGAAATAGAGAGTCACAGAGAAAGACTCCCAACATAGTAAAAATAAATATGTCATAGGAAATTCATACAAGCATTTTCTACATGTCTACCATGTCAGGTACTTTATGCACGTTGAGTCATCTTGTTTCATATTAACTGTATGGTAAGTATACAGGTGCCTTTCATGTGTTCGCATAGACATGCTCATGCATGAAATGGTAATATTTATTTATATCATTGATGAGTTCTTAATGATTGCTCTAGATCCCTTTCCTAGAACTTAAAGGAAACACAATGTGTTATGTGTGTATGTATGTATATTAATATAATACACATTTGTTAAACATAAGAAGGGCGACTGAAAGGGATCCTCATTAAATCCTATTCACAGTTGTTACTCCAGACAAGTAAGTGTGAGGGCTGTGAACACAGAAGTTTTAGCACATTTCGCCTTTGCTCGTTCCTGTTATGTTGAGTATTTATGATTTCAGGTGTATGTGGTTGTGCACACATATGTTGTTTCTGTTGCGCACAAATATAAACAAATTAAACAGCCTAGTAGTTAAATGGATTGACCCAAGATTTCACTGAGTGCAAACCTAACCATACAAATAATAAAGCCTCAGATTTGGCTGAGCTTATAAGGACTACGTGTTTGGAGTACGGTTGTCATTGCCTCTAACCTCCACACTTGCTTCCTTCATAGAAATCCGAGCTGTGAGGTACACCAGGAGCCGGTGACGTACACGGCTATCGACCCCGGCCTGCAGGATACCCTGCACCAGTGTGTCAACAGCAGGTGCAACCAGAGGCTGGAAAGCGGGTAAGAGACCTCCCTGTGGTCCGTGCCCAGCAGCCCCGCGGAGCTCCTGCTGCCAGTGCTTGGGTTCTCATTCTTCATACTTTAAAGATGTGTCCTTTGGGAGAGGGAAAGAGGTTCTTACCCCATAAGCTTTTTGTCTCCCAGATGAAATGTCCATTTGTGCTGTAGGCTAAAAGAAGGGCCTCTGCGGTGAGTGGGAAGGTTTTGTTTTGTTTTAATGAGCGGAGTGCAGGAGACGTTGCAAGGGAATGGGATCTCCTGGGTTCCCAACAGGACCCAGCAGCCACCAGGGTTTCAGAACTTCCCTTCTTAGGCAGCAAATCTACTCCAGGGTGGTTTAGAGAATTAACAGCCCTGTGTCCCCTGCTGTGGGCTGCTCTCCTCTAGGGGTTTTGGACTGGGCATCTGGCTATGGCAGCTCTGGGGAAGGGGGACCAGTTCTCTGTAGCTTCTGGTTGCTGTGTGATCAGGCAAAGAGCGAGCACGGGGTCCCAGTTGGCCTTGTGTTCGGTGGAGCTGAGGAAAGGACTATCCTTGAACTGATTGGCGTGGGCTGCTAGGCTGCATTTAGGTGCAGGGAACATTGTCCATGATGTCATTTCTTAGGAGTGTCACCATGCATGGAGCCTGAGAGACTGGCAGCTAGGAAGTCTCTTTTAAACAGACTACTATTTCCGGAACGTATTTGACTATTAGTTCCTTCTTCCTTTCTGAAAAACAAAACATAAATGACGTGGGGGATGTTAGACCAAAACCAAACAAACGTAGGGGTCGTTTGCCTTTGACCCCTTAAAGTGAATTTGAGCAAGACCACACTAATCCACACGTGGAGGTTTATACGGTCACAAAGGAAGCACTCTCAGTTGCAAATGGCCAAGAGGCACCCAATAGCCACCCCCAGGTAAATGACTGCCGTCCCCACTTGACAAGGAAAGGGGGTTGTCGGGCAGCTGTTCAGGGCAGGGGTTAGCACAGAGGAGCCCTGAGATCAGCTAGCTAAAGGCCAGCTTGCCTGCTCTCCTGCCCACACTGCTTTCTGAAACGCTGTCCCATGTGGCAGGGACTGTTTCGGTGTGCTGGACTGCGAATGGTGCGTGGTGGACAGTGACGGAAAGACTCACCTGGACAAGTCCTACTGTGCGCCTCAGAAAGAATGCTTCGGGGGGATCGTGGGAGCCAAAAGTCCCTATGTGGATGACATGGGGGCCATCGGTATGTTGGTTAGGGACCCTCACTGGTTTGACTCTTGAACTCAATTTTCCGCCTGTATACTGGGACAGGAATCTTAATAATCCTGTGACCAAATCTCCCGCTTCGTTTGCCAGTCATCCTTAGTTACAAAACCAAGGCAGATTATTACCTTCAGAGCTGGCTACGCGCACTGTGCAGTGAGCAGCCAACCATGCTGCCAAATTTTGCAAGCCTGGAATTCATTCCCATAAAGCTTATCCTGAGAAACCCGGGCCTGGTTTCCACATGGCTGAACTCGGAGTCGGCTTGAATGTGCATCCCAGCTGTCAGAAGCATGGGGCCTGTGGTGTGCTGTTTCCTCCCACCATGTTTTTCTCTCCCCTTTCCCGACCACTTTTATAAGGTGGGCATCTTCAGCTACGTGTTACGTAGCAAGCGGGCATAACAGACACCAGGGCTGCTACAGCAGCTCAGGGAGGGGACAGGAACACCACAAGGAGAAGAACCCCTGGGATCAGGCCACAAGTCCTTGAAAATAATACCGTCGAGTCTGTATTTCCCATTAGACTTTTTTCAATCTCTTCCCAGAATCGGCACCATGGCCTCATCCTTTGCTGGCAAATTGAGTCAGCCTATTTATGCCGCTAGTTATTGCAGATGTTTCTCAACTTGGGATACAGTTATGGCCCCATAAACCTATCATGAGAAAAAAATAAGTCAAATTGTGTGTAATGCTCTCAGCCTGCTGGTTGTTACATAACTTAACAACACAGTTCAACAGCACAGTACCAGTTATCTAACCTTTGTGAGCCCATGGCTGACTGGGAACTTCCATAGCCTGTATCAAGAGAGCATCCTGCTTTTCACAAGCCCAAGGAAAGATCAAGATTCTTTGTAGATCAAGTCTGTGTAGTTTCTACTGAACACTATTGCTTTTTTTTATTTTGTTTGTTTTTTTTTTTTTTTTTTTTTTTTTTTTTGAGACGGTTTCTCTGTAGCTTTGGAGCCTGTCCTGGAACTTGCTTTGTAGAGCAGGCTGGCCTCGAACACACTGAGATTCCCCCTGCCTCTGCCTCCCGAGTGCTGGGATTAAAGGCGTGCACCACCAGCGCGACTTTTTTTACTTTTATATCAAAGTTCACAAATTAGGGGCCATCTATATCTTGCTTTTTAATATCTGCACATTTAATCTCTCCTCTGCAGAGGAGGGGTTGAGCTCTTATGTTACTACTGAACCAGACAGGGGCATAGTGGACACATATACTCCAAAGGGGTTGCTCTCTGTTCTTATGGGGGGGCACACCTCTGCAACTTCGTCTATGCAGCGCAGACTCACTGAACTTCATATCTCTAATTTTAGTGGGTCCTTCATATGTCCCTCAAAGAATCCCCCCTCGCCTCTCTCTGCTAGGTGAGGTTTCCCTTGGGAGAGTAGCCAGGACTCCCGTCAGCACCAGGCAATGCATGTGTACAAGCAGTTTCCCTCTGCTCACTCTGCAACCGCCCTTGTCATTCATGTGCTTGCTCTGCGAGGCCAACATTTGAGAACCAGGAACTCAATGAGGCCTCCACTCCCACGCTCTCCTGTGTCAGTGAGGAAGTTAGAGTGTAGCACAGCTATCCACCAAAACCCATCCCACTTTGGTCCTTCCTGTCTCCCTCCATCCCTGCCTCCCGCTGCACTTGGGGGATCTTGACCCAGAACATCTGTTCATTTGTCCTCTGAAGGTGATGAGGTGATCACACTAAACATGATTAAGAGTGCCCCCGTGGGCCCCGTGGCCGGAGGGATCATGGGCTGTATCATGGTGCTGGTCCTTGCCGTGTATGCTTACCGCCACCAGATTCATCGCCGCAGCCACCAGCATATGTCTCCCCTCGCTGCTCAAGGTGAGTGCAGAAAGTCTCTTAGAGGTTGTTCAGCAGCGGGTTGTTTAGGGCTCTTAAACTGTAAGAGTAGCATGGCACCTGCAGTCCCCAACCCAAAGCATACTTTCTTCTTTAGTGCCTAAACTCTGCATGCCCTATTTTGACTACCCAGAAAATCCGAGGCCCTTTCCTGATGCTGCCAACATCCCCATCTGTGGCTACCACTACCATAAGCTGAGCCCGGAAGCTGGGGTACTGACAGAGTCTGTGTGTCAACACGTGGCTCTTGCAGGTCTAAACCCAAGCAAGTCAGAGACAGCCCCTCTGGGTCATTATGGTCAAGAATACAAGTCAGTTCTATTACATCCCTCTACAGAGTATGAACAGTCACCTTTGAATAATGAATTATTTTGAAACAGGATGCATCATGGAAGCCCACTACAAGAGTTCACCTATAATCATGACCCTGTTGCCAGAGTTTTAAGTCTGCCATCTGCACTCAAAATCGTCCCCACCCTTTCTGAAGTCCCCAGAGAATGGTTAACGTGGCTCACAGTCACTCCGGCCACTTAGCTCAGCTTGCAGCACTAGGGTCAAATTTGAGTTAGGTGTGGCTATGAGACAACCCTGACAGAACACACAGCACAGGGTACCACCAACACCTGCCTCGGGTAAGATTCGACCAGACTTGGGGTGGCTGCCATTCAGGGTTGCCTTGCACCTGGCCACCTGCAGTTATATATTGTTTCACAGCACAGCCAGTGCCGATTTGGACCCTACTTCTGCTCAAGGACTTTGACAGAGGGTTAAAGATGAGGTGGCCTCCATCGGTTTCATTCCTTTCTTCGGAGCTCAATTCTAGGTGCTCCTCGCTTATTCTTTCCTTGTCCTTCCATCCACCTCTTACTAGAAAGATATGACAGGGGCATCCGCTCATTCTCCTGCAAGTTCACTTTTTTCTCTCTTTCTTTTTCTGAGCCTGGGGATAGAACCTAGCACATCTGAGGCAAGCATCCTACCACTCCCCTCCATGCCCCACCCCACCTCCCCACCCCCTGCCCTAACTCAGTCTTGATGGAATGCTGTCACCCAGCCATCAAACCAGTGCTCGGCGGGGTATGAAAGCCAATGGTTTTGTTTGATTAAATAGTCATGTTTCTCTCTTTTTAATGATGGACAGAAATGTCAGTGCGTATGTCCAACCTGGAGAATGACAGAGATGAAAGAGATGATGACAGCCACGAAGACAGAGGCATCAGTGAGTATGCGCTGCCTCCTGTAGCTTGTGTCAGCAGGAGGCTAATCCAAAGTAAATATTCTTTCTTATGTCCTTTTGGCTTGTATTAAAATTTAAGAAGCTTTACATGGTGGATTTTTTTTTCCCACTCCCCTTTTCGTTCCTTTTTTTGTTTTGTTTTGTTATCTTTTGTGTTTTCTCTGGCCTAAAGCCTCTCCTCTCATTACCTTTCCAATGTAGTGTTTTAGAAAGAGAAGTTTCTAGACTACACTTTTTTAAATCCCTTAATGAGTGTACGCAACTCAGAGTAAAGGAAAAGGTGCTTTTTTTTTTTTTTTTTTTTTTTTTTTTTTTTTTTAAATTAAAAGAGACTTCTGTTGACAACTAGATCCCTTGGCCTTTAGCTGCCTAGCCCTTGGCCTGCTGATGCTTGCTGGACAAAAGTGGCTAAGTACCTCTCCCTGCAGTAACACCACACCAGCTCCCCTCATCCTTAAAATTCTTTTTAAAAATTATTTACTCTAACTCTTCAAAGAAAAACTCCTCCAGCACGTGAGTGAGCATGCTCAGAGCAAAGGGGTTGAGACAGTGAAGGTACCCACTGAAGAATGACACTAACTGTCCTTGACTTCCCACAGTCAGCAATACTCGGTTCATAGCTGCGGTCATGGAGCGACATGCACACAGTCCGGAAAGGAGGCGACGATACTGGGGCCGCTCGGGAACCGAAAGTGACCATGGTAAGATCTGGTCCTCTGTGGGAGAAGACCTCAGGAGCTTGGGCTACTCCTGTGGGAGGTGGGCACACACTCTTTCTCTCCCTTTCTCCAGTTCTGTACTTAATTATTTTGACATAGTTTCCCTAAAGGATGCACCCAAGCGTGACATTGTTTGAGAAAAATGCATGGGCAGTTTTCTTGCATTCCAATACTTCTAGGCACAAGCTAGATGGCCCTGACCACACAGACTGCTTTCAAGTTTTCCTCCATAAAGCAGGTGGTGGGGGCTAGTGAGACAGCTCAGTGGGTAGAGATTCTTGCACCCAAGTTTGATGATCTGAGTCTCATCCATGGGACCCATGTAGTAGAAGAAAAAAGCTGACTCCCACAAGTTACCCTCTGACCTCCACACATCATGGTGCACACAACACAACACACACACACACACACACACACACACGTGTGTAATTTTTTAAAAGTGTGTCTTTGACACTTTTGCAGATCTGTGACCAAATACCTGACAAAGCAGCTTCAGAGAGAAATTATTCCTTTTGGCTCATGGTTTAAGAAGGTTCAGATTGCTGGGTGGTGGTGGCTCACACCTTTAATCCCAACACTTGGAAAGCAGAGGCAGGCAGATCTCTGAGTTTGAAGCCAGCCTGGTCTACAGAGCAATTTCCAGGACAGCCAGGGTTACACAGAGAAACCCTGCCTCAAAAAAGAAAAAAAAAAAAAAAAAAAAAAAAAAAAAAGGTTCTGTTTCACTTTGGTTGCTGATTAGATCAGATTGCGATTGCTTGGGGGTAGTGTGATGAGTAAAACATCATAGTGGCAGGGGCATGAGGCCGAAGACAGTTGTGGCCATCATGGCCAGGGCTCGAACGGTAAAGGGGGAACATACAAATAAAGGACCAGTGACCAGTTAACCACTCCCTTCATCCAGGGCCCAACTCCCAGAGTTTTCAGAACTTTCCAAAACAGTGTTATTAAGGGACCAAGTACTCAAAACATGAGGGTGTGGCAGACATTTGAGGATCACACTGTCACTAAAGGCTCATCAGTGTGGAGCCCCCATACATCCTAGGACCTAACGTTGCTGGTGATCCAGTGTCAGCATCATCAACATTTACTCTTGGGTCATAGACAAGTCGGGACTGTCCTGTAGCACTGTCCACCCCCATCTCTGGCCATGTCTGCCAGGCTCAAGCTTTGCTGAAGAAGCATTTGCAACCGAGCCTTGGAAGGATGACTAAGAAAAGAACAAGTGTGTACAAGGTTGTGGCTTCACATTAGCTGCATACAAAGTCAAGACTGGGGAGGTACCGGGCCTTACATATTCTTGGTGTCATTGCTTACTGTCATAAGTTATGTCCTAGTCTGTGAGCATCACTGGTACCATTACTCAGAAACAGAACCACAGCGAAAGAATGTTTTCTTTTTGAAGCTAGCTATCTAGTTTCCACAAAGCTAAGTCCTTGTAAATGCCTAGATAATTTTTAGATTTTTTTTTGGGGGGGGGCTTGGCTTTTCCCACACGTATCCTGAAAGAGGAAAACTGCCTTCGAACAGTGTTTCTATTTGTATGCAAACGGCACAGGAGATGACATCCCTCCCGGCAACCAGCATCCCTCTGACACCCATGCAATCTCCCTTTGGAAAATGTGAGATGCGACAGCCCAGCCTGGTAAATCACAGGCTGTGAATTGGGCTTTGGATGACATTGTTCCCGCTGACTAAATAGAACCTTCGGGTTTCTAGGGAGAACCGAAGCAGAACTTAAATTTTTCAGTTTCTTGGCTTCCTGCCGCTCCCAACCCACCCCACCCCAAATAATCCTTTGAACCTTCCTAAGTTCTTGTTCTTGGCAGTTCTGTGCCTCCTCTTTTGAATACTAACACAGGTTTGAGGCTACTAAAGTTCAGCAGAAATAATTTCTTATTCAACAGAAACCCTGAATCTCAGCTCTCCCATGACATCCATACCAAATTAGGATCCGGAGTGACAAAATGTTCCCCAGCCTCAGCCACTGTCTTACTGAGATGGCTTGTGAAACAACAGCTTAGATAAAGTGGATAGAGTGAATACCTGAAATCAGGAGTGTGGCGAAGGGCTCACTGTCTCTCATTTCTCTCACTAATTGGATGCCTGTTATCCCCCATGGAATTAAAAAAAATAGTTTCTCATGCAGACAGAATAAACCACCAAAGAAAGCAGAAGGTGTTGAGAATCCCCATGTCCCAAATACAGCTCTAAATCAACGGAGCCTAACTGTGGGCTGTTGTATCCATGGACTGTATAGCACCTCACTAAAAATGACCCATCAATCGAATGTCCTTGTCATGCCAGCAGGATAAGTCTACGTGAGCATTAAAGGAGGAAATAGAATCGATTGTTTTGTCAACACGGTTCTGAGTGGTGGTCTCCTGTATCATGCCTGTACTGGGCGTGTGTTGTACACTGGGCACTGGGGATGGAGGAAGAGATGAGCAAGAAAGAGGAACACCCTCCTGACAGGGACATGTTCACTTTAGATCCCATGGCCTCTATTGTTTTTATAACGAGCTACTTAGAGTTTAGTGAGCTATTTTAGTCCTTAGTAGTTTCCTGATTCTTAATGTAGAATAGCCAGGTGTGGTAGCACACACATCTAATCCCAGCACTTGGGATGCTGAGGCAGGTAGATCTCTGTAAAGTGTAGGCTCACCTGGCCTACACAGCAAGTTCCTGGCCAGCCAAGGCCACACACCCTATCTCAAAAAATAAATACACAACTAAATAATAGGATTAAAGTTTCTACCTGGTAAAGGTCTCATGAAGATTAAAGGAGCTAGCTAGCACAGTAGGAGTCTGGGCTCAACCCCAGTTTATATTCCAGGGGAACTCAGAGATGAAGGCATGTGTGCATGAGACCCATACACAGTGGAATGAGACAGATTACTGGAGTGAGTAAAGGGAAAGAGGAAGTAGTTCATGTTCCAAGGAAGGGCTCGAGCTGGTGAGGCAGTTTGTGCCAGGGTTCGGTGCTGTGTTGTGCGTGCATCTGCGAGTGTGTGTGCAGGTGTGTGCGTGCAACTAGTAGACGCCAGGGCCCCTGGGAAGCTGCATAACAACGCTCCTAGAAATAAAACTCAGTGTTGCTAAACTTGGAAGCTTGTGGCTGCTCATTTATTTAGAAATAGTTCACAAGGCCATGTTTTAAAATATAAAGTGTTTTTCCTCTGGTGCTGGGAATAAAATCCAGACAAGTACTTCATGTTGCAAATACCCCAGCCACACTTTTTGTCAATATTCTAAGACAGCTTAAGGATTTGTTTTTGCAGCAGCGAAATGTAAGCCTCACAGGTTGAGCTACTAAACTCCTTTGTAGCCATGCACCTGCTTTGTCTCATATTTCTCTTTAAAATAGCATGTTCTATCTAATATATACTGGCTTATTTTTTAAGTTTAAAAATACCAGGATTTGTTTGTTTGTTCCTTGTGAGTTTATATTGCGGTTACTTCCTCATTAGAAACTTTACAGCCAGGTTTAGTCATATACTTTTGCATATATGTATAGGTAAGCAACATTTTCCTTTTTAAAAACCGGGCTCCTCCCTCATCCTTGGCAATTTCAAGGAACTGTTTTTAAGACAAATGAGGAACAAAAATCTAATTAAAAACAGGCCATATCCTACAGTTACTCTTTGAGGCCACAAGATGGCACATGAGTCCCTGCAGGAGTCTAGAATTCTCAAAAATAGCAGTGTCTCAGGAACTATTGTAATTACTTAAGCAGAATGCAGAAGTACAGAGCTTAATTTGGGCTTCTATTCCGCATGGGTGCCTAGCCTCATTACTCAAGTGAGTGTCTTCATAGATGGTTTTCAACATATGCCTTTGCAAGTGCTGCCAGAGGTGCTTTGTGTTTAAGTAGCATTTCTTCCGTGCTCTGGCCAGGGATCCTGTCTACCCTCATGATTCCTCACAGTTCTCCATTCAAAGCACAGCTGCCTGGCACCAAGCAAATGGTTTATTTGTTGAATGAGAAAATGTCTGTGGTCTGGAGAGAGGGCTTCACGGTTTGCAAATCACTTGCTGCTCAGTCGTGAGGACCTGAGTTTCATTCGATCCCCCAGAACCCACACAAAGCCAGGCACAATAGCTCAGAGCTCCCATGATGGAATGGGAGATGGAGGCGGCAGACTCCCTGGGAGCTTGCAGGAAGGCTAGCCCGATGTCTATGGCAGCAAACAAAGCAGGAGGCAAGGACCAACACTTGAGATTGTCCTCTGACCTCCACACGTGCATGCCCACACTCACACTCCTACCACATCCACCCACATAAAAAGTCTTAAAAAGAAAGAAAAGGAAATGAATTTGTTTCACATGCTTCTCTACAACTTGCTGTCCCCTTGGGATTCGCACTCAGGTATTAAATAGTAGAAAGTACAGAATGAATGAGCAATAGTGTCCGTGCTAGCTTTTTATCATTTGTGGATACTTAGAAAAACCATTTCAGAGAGTGAAGCTGTGTTTTGGCTCACAGCTTCGTGGGTGTCCATCTGTATTTGGCTAGCCATGCTGTTTCTAGGCCAAGGCAAGGGAGACCGTGATGGCTGAGGGCATGGTGGGTGCAAAGTTGCCAAGCATGTTACATCTTTCCAGGGCAAGCCTCCAGTCACATACATCCTCTAACTAGACACCATTACCTACAGCCCACTGCCTCTCTCTAACGCTATGGTTTGGAACTATCAAAGGATCCATCCACTAATGAGGTTGGTGCCATCTTGATCAGACCCCTTTCCAAAGCACAACAGGCGGCATCCAAGCCCCCAACACAGGAACCTGTGGGGCCATTTCAGATCCAGACACAATGGTATCACATGGTACAAATAATTACAGAGTATCGCTAGATGCTTAAGCCACTGGGTAGGGAAAAATGGATTTCCTAATCTTCCTAATTACATGAAACTAGTAAATAACATGACACGCATAGCCACGGGTAACAGAAAACTCACTGATGCCAGTGCTTGAGGGAATTAAAATGTGTGAAGGCTCACTGACTTGTTCTTATACTTCTGGGGGTGATTGACCCTAAGGCCTCTTAAATGCTAAGCAAGTGCCCTTACACTGAGGTACCTCCCCAGCCCTTTTTAGTTCTTATTTCGAGACAGGATCTAAGCTGTATTGGCCCTGAATTTGCTCTGTAGTTCAGGCCAGTCTTGAACCTGCAATCTTCCTGATAGCTGCATTTACAGGCCTGTGCCTGCAGACCTGGCTGGTTTTGCGGTGAAGTGCCTCCTTTATGTGAGGAACTGTGCTCCATGTTAGGAGTGCAAAGGCAGAAAATAAGGAAGAACTGGCTAGCCAGGCCAGGAGGTGAACCTCTCTAACTCCAGCAGGCAAAGTAGAGCAGGATGATTTCAAGTTTGAAATAAGCCTGGCCTATTTAGTGAGTTCCAGGCTAGCCTGGGCTGTATAGTAAGACCCTATCTCTAAAAAGTAAAAATAAGAAGCAAAAAAAAAAAAAAAAAAAAACATTACAGAATGCCATGTAGAACAGCAGAAGAACACTAAACCCAAGCGGCTGGCAAACCAGAGACAGGGCTGGGGGATGGGCAAGGGGACCTAGCAGAGATCTGAGGCCCAATGAAGCTTGAAGCACTGCGGCAGGGAAGGTGTGTTAGGTAAATGATGCACCTGTTACTCAGAAGTGGCCAGAATGAGACCACCAAGGCAGTTTCTGGGTGAACAACCCAAATGCTGAGACTGCTAAAATCTCCATGTCCTCCCTGATGAGCACAGGACGGCGTAGTTCAGACATCCATCCAGCAGCTTTCAGAGCCTGGCCTCTGGTCTCACACTGTATGCTTAGCCCTGCCAACGAGATCGCACTGAGAAACTTACTCTGGCCCCCATCTCTTAAACATAGATAAAGGTGTCACTGTTTCCCCAGCCTCTGAACTTAGAAAGCCGGACCATCTTCCAAGGATGTCAACCCTTCTAGCCTCTTCACCTGTCCCACAGCAGCTTGAGGCCTGGGATACAGCCTCCAGTTCTCTGAACCCCCTGGCTTCTGCTCAGGTTGCATTACCCTCACCCATCCCTAGTACCTGCCACTAAGATGTGGTTCCAACCAGCCTTCTTACCCTAGCCCCACCCTCCCTACCCACTTAGCTGCCCTGCCTGCTTTCCCCATGCCGAAGTTTTCAACATTTCACAAGGGAGCAAAGTGGTGTTCACCCTTCCTAGCGCTGCAACCCTTGGATACAGTTCCTTACACTGAGGTGACCCCCAACGTTATTTCCTTATTACTTCATAACTGTTATGAATCATGACATAAATATCTGATGTGCAACCCCAAGTGGTCACAGCCCACGTTTTGAGAACCACTGCTTTAGAACTATTGATCAGAGCTATTGCATGCGACTGTGCCCGGCCAGCACCTGTGGTGCCTTGAGTGGGCTTCTGGAACCTTCCACCTTGTTCTTGCTGCTGTTCCTGGCACCTGTATCCAGGTGCACTCAGTGATGAGGCCGACAGCAGTGAGTTCTACCCTCCTTCCCTGGCTGTGCAGAAGTTGTGCCTGTTTCTCGTAGGCATCATGTGGGTGCCGGGCTCTCGGGATCAAGATGGTTCCAATTGAGTCATGCTTTTCTGAGACACAGGGTCACCAGGTCTCCTCGGCCATCCTTCTGACTCAACTTACAGCCTTTACCCTTACCATACAACCACCCATGCCTGATTGCCTAGCAACCTCTATACTCTGCCATCCACTTCCCCTCATTTTAAATCCTCATCCTTCCTTGGACTGTTGCAGCGACCTCCTCAGTCTCATCTTTCCCTTTCATCCATCCCCGCACACTGCGGGGGTCTCTGACCAGACTGACCATGGCCAGTCATGCTTAGGGAACTTGTGTACCTGTTGTGTGCGCAAGCCTGTGCATCATGTTCTAGCTTTACCTCCCAGCGTCTCACGTCTCTGCTCCCAGCCAACACACATCCAAGTCACATAGTAGAGGATCGCTATACAGCGCCATGCTTCTGGGGCTGCTCTCCTTTTCCTTTGCTTACATCCACTTAACCAAGCTCTGTCGTTCTGTTTTCAGAGACAGGCTTTCTCTGTGCTGTTCCAGGCTGTCCTGGAACTCACTCTGTAGACCGGGCTGGCCTTGAACTCACAGAGATCTACCTGCCTCTGCCTCCTGAGTACTGGGATTAAAGGTGTGTGCCACCACTGCCCAGCTACAGTTCACCCAAGTCGCACTCACCCTCCTAAGGCCGAGTGAAGGAAAGTGTGATGCAATCCCCTCAATTCCTCCTTTAGTCAGAATGAGTTAGTCCTCCTTCTGGGTTTCAACTCAACCTCAACTCTAGTTCCCACTACTGTCTACACTCCATTTTAGTCCTTAAGGAAGAGAAATAGGGAGGTTTGATATTTCACCCCACCTTGCACCCCCATACAATCCACGGTAAAAGTGATCCAATGCACTGTGTTCATGTCTCAAACACTGGCTCCTTAGCTCCTATAGGACCAGGTTTTCAAACCTCTGGTGCCTAGCAGAGTGACTTGTAGGAGGTGCCTAGAGAATATCCTTTGACTGGCTGTGAAATAGCTCTTCGGTTGAGTTGTTTTATTGAGGACATGGAGTGCCTCCCTCACTTTTGCATGGAGCATGCCTTTTCAACCACTCCCCGCTCCTGCTTGGTTGAACTCATAGAGTACATCAATTTTTCAGTCCCAGATGTGACTAGTGCTTCCCCACGGGTGAGGGCTGATTGACACTGAGATGCCAGGGAACTATTAATGAGCTGTCACTTCTGAAAACGTTTAGAAGAGGGATTCTTTTTTTTTTTTTTTTCCTCAATATTTAAAAACATGCCATGGTTCTTGGAAAGGAATCCTTTGATCAGCTAGGGTATTTTCTTTTGAATCATGTATTAGTTAGAATCCTGAAAGAAATAAATCTTTAAACATAGTGAGCCGGTGTACACACACAGTAGTTCACTCCTTTCTAGTTGCTCTGGGTTGGATAGGATTTTGATGCTTCACTGAGCACTAGAACCTTGGGCCAGTTCCTTCCCTTCTCTGGTCGCCTCTCTTCTAGGTTTAAAGAGCCCAGCTGACTGTTTTGCTGTAGACATGTGTGCTGGTGATAATAAGTTGGATCCCATAGTGATAGTGGATTGGACCTTCACTGACATCCCATAATGATAACGGATTGGACCCTTACTAACATCCCATAATGATAACTGGTTACACTCTCACTGACATCCCACAAGCATTTCATCATTCAGCTATTGCCCACCAGCCCCAAGCAGTCTATACCCTATTCACATCCCCTGAAGCTGCCCATTGCCTGATTTAGTAGTTTATATGATGGGGGGGGGAACTGTGGGTACCTGCAGATAATGGGGTCTGTGGGGTGATTTCACTGTAGAGCTGTCCCTGGCCAGGGGTTTGGGGTGATGACTCTTGCTCATTTTCCACAGCTTTCTCAGTTGTTTAACATGTTACGTACTTATGGCTAATTGTTTTTAGAAAAAACAAACCAACCCTGTTTCCTCTAGATGTCTTTAAAATTAAAATACCTTAGCGTGCACTGGTAGAATGCAGATGCTGGCACCTAAGTGTCAGCAACACAAGAGTGCGTCCCAGCAGCCTAGACAGTCCACTCTGTATTCTGAGGCTATGCTGTTCCTTTTCTCAGGGTATAGCACCATGAGTCCGCAGGAAGACAGTGAAAACCCCCCGTGCAACAACGACCCTCTGTCAGCTGGGGTGGATGTAGGCAACCATGATGAGGACTTGGACCTGGACACCCCACCCCAGACCGCAGCCCTCCTGAGTCACAAGTTCTACCACTACCGCTCACACCACCCGACCCTCCATCACAGCCACCACCTTCAGGCAGCCGTGACAGTACACACTGTGGATGCCGAATGCTAACAGTCGCCTCACCACCCCAAGCAGAGGGGCCCTGGGCGATGCTCCTGAGAAGAAACGAGCCTATGTAAAACCCTTTCGCACGAGACACCTGTGTCTGCGCTTTGTCCAGCGAGGTTGGACTTGTTTGCTGCCTGCCGCTGTGTTTGAAAACTGAAGCCACGAAGTCCTGTTTGTGAGGAGCTAAAACTGGTTCTGAAATGGAAGTTGGGGGCGGGGCCGGGGCGCTGATGAACTGACCTGCCATAATGGAAAGGAACAGTGGGCAGACCTCCAACAGAGACGCTTGTAAAAGAAACTGAGCCAGGGGAATGTTCCCAGCACCAGAAACACTCGACCCCTTAACTGGAAGAGAGCTGAAGCAGATGCCAGGAACGGGGCACGCCAGATGCCACCAGCCGCTGGACGAACACACTTGCTTCCTAAGCGGTGCCTGGACACCACCGTAGCTGTACGGAACTGAACTCACCTTGAGCTCTGAATGACACATCTCAGAATTTCTAAGTAAAGGATTATTTTTCTACTATTTATTGAACTTTCAAACTTTGGGGGAGGGGAAAGGAAACGAGGGATTCTCGGCCGTAACCCTGGCTGTTGTGTGTGAGACGTGGTTCTTTGATTAAGGAGTTGTGTTTCTTATTTAACTGGTGACCTTCCTACCACCCTCATCCACAAAAAAACAAAAAGAAAAGAGAAAAAGAAAAAAAAAAGGGAAATGAAGAAATCTCTGTTTGTGTTACTACTCAGAAACACGTCATCTGGGATAGTGTCCTCTTTCTGGAGGGGCGGTAATCCAAGGTGTTTTCAAAGAGATGTCATTCCTTTGGAGTTCATTTCCACCTTCCATGTAACGTTTTCCTTAGGTTTCTACGAAATCTAGTATTATAGCCCTAGCCTTTCAGTTTAGGGGAGGCTTGGACTTACTCTCTTTGTTTTAAAGACTATAAATTTTAAAATGTCTCATTTTTGACTCTGAGGATAGTAAAAGGAGGGCATTTTAAAATTGTGAAATTGTGGTTCTTAAATGATTTCTTTTGAAATCACAGCTCCAAGCTGCTAGCATTTCTTCCACCAAACTGTGTTTGACTTCCACAGGGATTCATCAAATGGCTACTTTGACGTGGGGCATTGTGATTTTAAAGTAGTGTTCTAATTACAGTGGTGTATTTTAGATTCACATTTTGTGATTCGGATATGTTATGAAGACATTCTTTGCACCGTGTGTGTGGTCAATCTCCGTTTATATGTAGTTGGAAAATTTCACTGAATAATGTTTTAATGATAGGGTATCATGATATACTGTTAAAAAAAACAATAAAATAAAATGAAATAAAAATTGGGACCTCAGCACTACAGAAAGTAAACTATATATGTGCTACCCAGGAACCCTCCATGCTGTGTATAAGATTGCAGTCTAGTGAAATAAACTGTATGCAATGAACAGTTGTGTGGCCCCCATTTTTTGATGTGTTATTTCTCACCATGTAACCTAGACATCCTTTCAATGTTTCGAGCAACTTTGGGCACCGTTGTGGCTTGAACAGAAGGTTCTGTAGAAAGCGCAAGCATTCTTACCAGGGCCTTTGCATTCCCCAAGGCCTCTGTACCTGTCCCCAGCTCCTCTCAATGAGCAGCATCAGTAGCTCAGAATATTCCAGATCACTCGACGCAGAAGGAAACTTACTGGCCCAGACTCAGTGGTCCTCTGAGTAGAGTATATGCCCATATGCCTACCAGGTAATCTTTAATGAATAGTTTTTATAAATTTTAGAAATGCTGGAGCCTGGCCATCTGCCTTCTGTTACTTGATTTGGCTTGAATACTCAGCTGAACCTCACTCATGTGTTTATTAGATAACTATCCAATTTCCCCGTACACCAGCTTTGCTGCCAACCAGTGACTGTGGCATGCAGCAAGACAGGAGGGCTGGCTTCCTCTAGTAGTGGTGACAACTCCAGTGGTTATGTTTTCTGCAAATGTACATCTGGGAGAATCATCATATTCTTAAACATGCCAGCCCAGTCACTCTGTGCCTTTTTGGTCTGAATAAAGGCAGGCAGATTTTCCAGTCTGGAATAGAATGCCATAAAAAAAATTATTTTCTAACTCTTCCACTTAAAAGAAGCTTCAGTTGAAAGATATTTATAACTGTATATGATGGTCTGGTTAGTAACTAAAGTATGTGAATGTCTGTGTGTCTATGGGCACATAAATTGAGATCTTGCAACCCTTTAGATTTTGTTGGTTTTCTGTTTTTGTGATTTGTTTTGTTTTTCTCCAACCTTCATCAATGCAGAATTGCTCATTGGGGGTCCCTTACTTCTCTGATCCTTTAATTAAATGTTTCTCATTTTTTATTCATGAGTGCTCCCTCCCCTGAAGGAGACATGATTTTATTTAAATTCTCCTAAGAAATGAGACTAGGAGATAAGTTTTGTTGACTAGAGTCACACTTTGGAGATAATAGAAACCATCGTAAGATCTGATTTCTGTTTGATCCATTTGGAGCCCTTTGTGAGCAATGTCTCCCTACTGAGGGTGTGAGCTTTACATAAAGACCATCCACCACCCTGACCCCAGTACTGTGGCCCTGGACCACCTCTGAGCTGCCCTGCTTTCCTCTCCTGACTTGCCAGACAGAGCACCCAATAGGAAGAGGGAGGCCTGAAAGCTAATCCCGGTGTCTCTGATCCCAGGCTTAAATCTACCACCAAGTGCCAAGTCTTTGATTACAGTGTGCCCCTCACATTGTTTCCCTCCGTGTGTGACTGGTTCTCCAGGCTCTGTATACCGTCACTGGATCTGTGGCTTCTAAATTGCTTCCTTAAGTCTCTTCCAGTAACTGAGCCAATATTCAGGGCCTCCTGCTTACACATCAGAAGCAAGTACACAACAATGAACCACAGGCATGACCCTTTCCTCCATAGCTGAAGCAAGGGGGTGGACGTAGACCTCTGCAATGGTTTTCTACCCATGTTTCCCAGCCTTGCTAGTCTACGATCTTTCTACACAGACTGGCCTATAAGCACACACACACACATGCACGCACACACACACACACACACACACACATGCACACACACAAATCCCAACTGTAACCTCTCTCTATCCCCTCCCATTTTAACTATTCTACTAGCTCCCCATCTGAAGTGCACTTTCTTGCTATAGCCCTCCTGCCTCTTCTCATCCTCTCCTACTGCTCTTGGTTGAGTAATGCTTTAGCTTCAGCAGCCTTGCCCTCACTCAGGTCCCTGCTTTTTCTATGCCCTACTACCTGAAAAATTAGCCTTCCCCCACCATCTTTGCACCCCACCTGGCTCCCAGTCTGCAGGTAGCGCTTCCAAGATATCATATCTGGAGGCTACCTGCGAACACCAGCCCACAATGGAGTCCTTCCCTGCATCTGCTCTCACCTTTCTTTACTTCATAGCAAGCAACCCTTGCTATTTATGTGTTCAAATGCCTTTATTAGATGCTTTCAAGTGCAGTTGTTGAAAACCCAATTTAAATGCTCTTATATAATACAGACTTCTGTCTCCCATAAGCGGGTTCAACCAGCAATTTATGTGTCCACTGAGGCTGAGGATGTGAGCATGGGCAAATTGACAGCCAGTGGGCATAAATGCCATCCATAACTTCACGTTACTCTGAGACAGACATCCCTAAGATGAGTCCTGTGAGACTGGACCAGATGAGGGCACACCTTCCCAGGCTGCTCACCTCCCCGTCAGGAAACGAAAAAAAAAGAGTAAGGGTAGGCAGAATCCCATAAGAGCATTCAAAGGCACACCCCAGCCACCCTGAGGTCCAGGTCTTTGTAGACATTTACATGTATACCTTAGATTGGCTCCCCTAGTTGCTCCACGGCTGTGTAGAAGCCCACAGTCTTTATCCCCATCACTGTGATCCTCTGAAAGAACAGAGCCCACACAGCCACTCTCTCGATAGCCACATCAAACTCTGCCCTCCCATTCATTTTCCAGCAGCACCTTATGCTGCTATCTACAGTGGCTCAGCCTACATCCAGCATCGCTTCCTGGCCCTGGCTGTCCCTTAGGTTGTGATGACAGTTTCTTCACCTTTCTGGGGCTATTCTTTTCTTCCTTCCTTCCTTCCTTTCTTCCTCCCTTCCTTTCTTTTTTAAAATTTCTTTATTATGTATACAGTGTTCTGCCCGCGTGTGTGCCTGCAGGCCAGAAAAGGGCACCAGATGTCATTATAGATGGTTGTGAGCCACCATGTGGTTGCTGGAACTTGAACTCAGGACCTCTGGAAGAGCAGCCAGTTCTCTTAATCTCTGTGCCATCTCTCCAGCCTCTCTGAGGCTATTCTGTATAGTCTCAGAATGGTTTGGCCCCCACAGACCTCACTCATCAGGGCCTTATGCTTTGCTTTTAGTGCACACAAAATCTACAACTCATCCTCTGCCTACAGACCTCAGTGGAAGTTGGAGGTCACTCCATCCCTCCCTTCTCCTCCTATATCCCTCTTTTTCCTGAAGCCCTTTCCAGTCCTTTTCCCCAACTTATGTGATACTCTACAGTCAGATATGCCCAAACTTTTGTCATTATGAAAACTCAAAATAGGGTTTTTTGTTTGTTTGTTTTAATTCATGACATTCGGTCAGTTTATGACGTTGTGCTTGCTGGGTGGCATTCATAACTATCCCCTGTCCTGTGGATGCTGCCTGTGGGTCACAGGTTGACCTAAATGGCACAGACATTTCCCAGGCAGCGTTAGTACCAGACATCCCATTGACTCTGCCCTACTCCAAATTACTGTCATTGTCCCCCCTTGAATGCCAAAGCAGCCTCTGCTTTGTCCTCTCCTAATTCATTGCCACATCCAAGTTTGTTTGTTTGTCTGTTTTAATTAGAGGCACCACTCTGATACTTGGTAACTGTGGTATGTCACATCTAAAAATCATAACTAAAATGTATCGTATGCATTCAAAATGCTGCACATCCATCCCCTCTACCAACTTTAAAACATTTCTGCCACCTCAAGGGGAACTCCATACCTAGCAATGAGTGGTGTCCAACTGCCCCTCCTCCATCCCCATAAACTGCCCATCTACTTACTGCCTTAATGGACTTACCTAGTTTGTACATTTCATATAAACAGATGTGACTGCTCATGTTTGGCTTATGAGAGCCATCCCTGTTAAGGGCTGAATCTGAGCTTTGAATTCTGCATCTCCAGTCATCAGATCAGATCATGAACCTGGGCTGTCTCTACCTTGTTAAGCAATGTGCTACGAGCTTTTGTGCACAAGTGTCTGAATACTGGCTTTTTATTTTATTTTTGCTCAGCCATGGAGTAAGTCTCTGTGTAGTATTTGGAGGACCCAACACTTTCCAGGCTGGCTAGACCACTTTACTTTTCCTGCAGCTGTGTTGAAGATTTCCATTTTCTCCCTTTGCTAGCCAACACTTTCTTCTTTCTTTTATTTAAATTACAGATCTCGTCAGATGTGGTAGTACAGGTCTTTAATCCCAACATTCAGTTGTAGCCAGTTAGGGCTATATAGTGAGTTCTTGGCCAGCCAGGACTGCATAGTGACACCCTGTCTCCAAAAAAGCAAACTAACCCCCCCAAATTGCTACTTACCTGTTAGGTATGTTAAAATGTATGTCTGGTTTTTGAGTTATTGGTGCTATGGACTGAACCCAGGTACCTAATGCATGCTAAAGTCCATTCTTTTACTGATCTGTACCTCAGCCCACAGTAATCATCCCAAAAATGTGAAAATAAAACCTTACTTGCCTAACACCCTTTGATGTTTTGTCATTTTTCTAGAAATAAAGTCTCTCCCCAACCCCCACACACCATTCAGTTCATCAACCTTGTCTTTCAAGCTATGTTCTGATTGGCGGAATGAGTCTGACTCTGATGTACCTAGGTGCCTTTGCATGTGCTACTCACAGTGCCTGGAATGTCTCCTCACCAACTCCTGCCCTCTCCTGGATACAATCCCTCTTCCTTCATCGTTCAGTACTGAGCTGCCTCTGCGCCTGCCCACACCACATTTAGCTTCCACTGTGAGGGGAAGAAAATACTAAGATGAAAAACTGAATATGAGGGTAACCCTATTCTTACTAAAGAAAGTTCTCCTGGGCACTGGCCCCTCCCACTTGCAGAGGAAAACCGAAATCCACAGTGCCACTGTCCCCTTACTGTAAAGGATCAAGGACGACGTAGCTGCTCCACGAAACTGGTCTGTGTAACAAGCTGGGAGTCCCCAGAAGACTGGGGATGCAAGAAGGCAGAAGACCTCTGGAGTCTTGAGGACAGAAAGGGGACACCATGCACAGAGACCCAGGAATGTGTAGAGAAAGGTGACCGGGAAATAAAGACAGGTACTGGTGACAGTGACTACAGGGATGTTCTGTGTGCCTATGTCTGGCTGACATGAAATGTCCTGTCTTCCCAAAGCTTCCC